TTCGGTAGGGATTCGCGAAAGGCCGTGTTGCAGGCAATCGGTGTCATCTCATCCCAGCGCGCGTACACCTTCCGCTCGCCCTCGGAATCTCTCTGGGCAGAGCGCATTGCTGGTGTCAAGCGCCTATCCGAACGCGCACGCGACTGGCGCGAAACCGGCGACCAAGAAGCCTTGATGGAGGAGAATTAATTGCGCGCAACGACTCTTCGATCTCTTCGCATTTGCTTGCATATACCCTGTATCATAGCGCATCACTCTTTGGTATCATGTTTCCTTGCTTCCATTCACGGCCATATCTTTCTTTTTGGCGATTTCACTGTTAGAGCTGTCATCGGGCTCATCCCACTTGAGACGTCTTGTTTCTCTTTGTTTCTCTTATTGGGTTTACGATACCAACACGGGTCTATATCTCCTTGCATTGGGTGGACCTCCTGGATTTGCAAAAGTAGGACTTGGGCGTCGCTCTCACCACATCTATGCTTTAGAGAGCACCACAGCCCCTTGGCGATTGATTGGCTACACATATGCACTTAGACGCACGAATATCACATCCGTACCATACTCCGTACCGTACTGCATCTGCTACGCTACTTGGGTAAACCGCAACGTTCACGTATGCTCAATAGCTATACCGGGTACAAGCACCCGCAGCTTGTGCTAACCCCTGAAATTGCATCACCCGTGTGTCTTTTAACACGCTGATTGCTGTAAGGGTCAGTCTACACTTGGTCAAGGCAGTCTTGGAACTCCACTGCGGTGAGTTCCGATGGTGGACGCCATGGCTACGAACAAAAGCCGGCAGAGCTACTTCTTCGGTGCGTTCGGGTGCATTACCCCTCACCTTAATCCAGTACCGTTATATATCTATAAGTTTGCAACTATACATCCATACAAGCATTGTTCATCTCGGCATGCAAGGATTCCTACCGCGACTTTGTGCACAAAGATATGCAGCGGACAAGAGCGTTCTTGACCGCATAAATGCGACATTGTTGCTGTGTGCGCTCAGGTCTCTGTCTCAGACTGCCAACGACCACCTGAAACTCCCAGCCGACAGCTCGCTTGGGCGCCAAATGCAATTGGTTTTGTCTTACTGGAACGAGAACGGTGCAGCTACACAAGTCAAAGGTGAAATCGAGGCCTGCATATTGATGCATGGGCTCAGGCAGTCAGTTCATCGTTCGCAATCGGCGAATCCTGCCTGCTGCGGTAACAAATCTTCGCGCTGTACGGTCATGCACGCTGATTTGCGAGCCAAACGATAGAGCACAGGCACCCAGAGCAGTGGGTTGTACCTGAAGTGTACCGGCTTCCGTCTTCTTACGCGCCTATCGTATCTGCCATCCGTTGTGAAGGCCTGTTGACGTCAAGCCCTGGAACAAGCCAAGTGCCAACTACTCACCCCACTGTCTAGATGTCCCACTCCTTCTTCTCTTTTCTTCAACAATAACCCGTCACATGCTCCCCAAACGGCACATGCTGAGGTAAACGGCGATGCAGTACTGCCGAAATGACCAGGATGCGAAACGTGTCCTTCCCGTCGCCCCTACTGGCAAATGTCGGCTGTGTCCAAGACGACTTTGTCAGACCTGGGAACATCAACGGATTCCTCTGTGGCTGTAGTACACCATGCAATATATCAAGTCTTATTCTGGTGCAGCATCTACAAACGCCTACTCATGCTGCGATTCAAGGGCCACGGCAAGACGCAGGAACCGGTCTTAATTGAGAGGGGCGCGGCGTGGACGAATGCCGCGGAAACATACCGGCTACATCCTGCATGTCGCTGCAGATACAGATGCGGCTGCAGGTGCATCTGTCCCGCTGTAAGAACTTGCTGGCTACATCGAGTATCCCCGGTGTCCATCAGGTTAAGACGCCCAAAAAGCAAACAACATCAGTACCTAGTCCATGGATATAGATCGCGTTCCGACAAGCCAATGAACTCTCATCCCAGTTGACAAGATATGCTAATGTCAAACAGTAATCACTTCCAGGTCGTCTCTCAACCCACGTTTGATCGCTCGTCGCATTGCACAAGGGGCAGCACAGTCTCGATGTCGCTGCGATTGTACCCATTGGCGGCTCGTCAAACTTTCCCCACTTGCTGGGAAATGCCCAACTTTTGCAAGCCCTTCGCATCTTGACGCACGTGCGAGACCCTAAGGTGGTGTTGGGTGGACCGATGGCATTTCCTTTGCGAGGCGAGCGGGCGGGACTTCGGTTCGATCATTCTCAGCCACATCTCGTTGACAAGGGTATGTAGATGCATGTTACGAATACGCTTACCAAACGGCTATTCCGGTGTAGTTCTACACTGGAGATCATGCTGACATGGGTCTTTAGGCGAGTCTGAAATCCAAAGCTGCATCGACGGTTGGGCTCTGTATGGCCCATAGCCCGCCATACAGGTAAAATAACGTGCTCTTAATGTGGAAGTGATGTCGCAGGATTGCCGATGCTGATTCTTGTTAGACTGTGACTGTTGGTAGCTGACCACGCAGATCCGACGTGCCGTGATCGTGAAGAGGCGGTGTTCTCGACAATATTGCTTTGCTCCGCACTTTCCTTCTTCATGGCCACACACTGGAGCGCATCACCGCTGCCGATCAGACCTATCGCGCTATTGTGGGACCTATGCAGCGGCCATCGAGATAGATCCATAATTCTCCCGCAAACCCAGCGCTGGAACCATTCCGTCAAAAGCAATACTTTCGGCCCGCAGACCAAGTTTACAACTGTGGCATGAGCGCCGTTTTGCCGGAGGCTAAGTCCAAGTGCCAGGTGTGGAGAGGGGGAAGACTCCGTGGTCCGCGCAAAAGCAAGCAACAGCTGAAGGACTGGGATAAGCGGGGTAATCGCAAGAGCGCATATCAAATTACATCATAGCCAGCAAGAAAAAGCATGGCGTCGTGTGAGTGTGCGTGTGTGCCAGAACTCAACATATCCACCCTTTGTCACACCGATATGCACATTTATACACAAACGGCGAAGATTACTTGCAAAACAAATGTTGACGACTGTGTGCGCATCATACTTTGTATGCAGCTAGAACATGTGGAAAGATGCAAGGTCTCATCTTTGCCTTGTTGGTAAGCCAGACACCCAATGGCGCACGTGCTATTACTTATCCCTACAGTATTTATCTTGCTTAGAGCGGCTATATGGGACCATCAGATCTTTGCGATGAAGCCTACAAGGACCCCTAATCGTTTGTGCTTGTAACATGCACCTGTTCCGATGCTCAACATAAACTGGGTTGGTATTTTTGTGTATTGACCTAATGCCCTCTATACGCAAGCATCAACATCACAAATCAACTACATAGCCTTTCTCTCTGTCGAGACACACTACATCCGTCGGCGTTACGGTAATGGTCGGTGCGGATAGAATGAAAGATGCGCGCAAATAGCTAATGCGTCCGTGTCATGATATCTGTTTGCTACCTAGCTACCCAGTCAAAATACTTCCAAGGTTTGATTCAACAAGGCCTATCCAACATCCAACATGCATAACACAAAGCCCTCGTCCCAAAACCTCTACTTGCTATACTCTTTTACAAAACGAATAACAGACTCGTTAACCTCTTTCGGATTGGATGCGCTCAAGAAGTGCTGGCCGCCTTCGATAACCTCCAATTTGGCATTCGGCGAGTTCGTGAAGAGTTTCATCTCCTCTTTGGCGTTCGCGACCGAATAAACAACATCGCTAGTTCCCTGTGACAACAGTCAGTTGCGAAATCACCCTAGAGAACACATCCGCAATGAGACCAACGTTGCTATGAAAAGAAAAGCATCCATCCACTTACATGCAACCGCAAAACCGGACACAGCACATCGCTCAAGCGCATATGCAATCCGTCCCGATCTCTAAGATTAATTGCACACATCCTGATCCTTCGACGTCCTTCGTCGCCTTGATAATTATTCTTAATCTCATCAATCCAGAAGGCGCGGACGTCTTCGGGACAGTCCTCCTTCCCCAAGCCCACGTCGATGAGGAAGTTGCAGAAATCTGTGCTGGGTACAAAGTCTGGCGTAGGCTCATTGGATTTGGTGCCGAATTCGCCGGTGATGCGGTCAGCGAGGGGGTCAACGGCGTGCCAACAGCCTAGATCGCGAGAACGAGGGGACTCATAGTCTAAGGATGTTCCAAGAGGTACTATGCCAAGGATCTTGGTAGTTCCTCTGTCAATATCTGGTAGAGTGTGTCACAAATCATTAGACATGGCGTGGGTCGCTTACCTTTTCCGGCGCCAAAAGTGCCATTCGTACCGTCACCCATCCTCCCTGGCTCGTCCCTAATACAAAAGCTTTCTTCACACCCAGCTTCTCCATAACCTGCAGATTCATCATCGCAGTATCCCAGTACGTCCAGTTCTCAGTCTTTGCGCGCGTTTGTCCATGACCCAATAGCTCGATCGCTACCAGATTCATCACCGATGTAAGTGTTTCGTTCGTGTATGCATCACGATAGAGCTCCGAAGACGTAGCGAAGGAGTTTATCAAGATGAGGGTGGGTTTGGAGGCGTCCACGGGACCGGAGGTTTGGTAGGCAGCTGTTATGCCGCCGAGGTGGGGGACGTCAATGGTTTTGGTGTTTGGCATTGATGATGCACAGCGAGAAAGTGCACTGTCTTTCGAGTATGGGCGGTTGGTGATCATAGTTGCGAGTCGTGAGGCTGATGTTGTCGTGTGAATTTGCAACGACGTCACATGTCGATCTTGTGGGGAACGTTCGGGCCGAGGGGGTAGGTTATTTCCTTATTTGGGATAACATAGTGATGCGTTTACAAATCATCACAAAATATAGGTATGAAGAGATGCGAGTGTCTTAGGATGTTATCAATTGGTCGGCGGAGCGGCAATTCTGTTGAAACGCAACGTGAGAAACACACATAAAGTGCCGCAAGAGCATATCATCAATGGTAAATCTTTGCAAGAGAATGTACATGTTTGCCTTCAGACGTATAAAGCTATGTTGCTGTGCATATTGCTTGCTTAGTTCTCCAGAACATACCTATACCTCGCTTTTCCTGCCTCCATGTCCACAACCGCGGTGTTAGCATCCTTCATTGGTCTCTTCTGGATCCATGGCTTGATCTTCTTCTCAGCCGCCAACTCCAACATCTCCTTGATCTCCCATGGGGCACCGATGCCAGAGCCTCCAACCTTGAGTCCACCAGAAAGAAGCGTGAAGGCGTTGATGGGAGGAAGCTCTCCGCCGTCCGGTGCTCCAACTTGGATGAAAGTACCATGAGTCTTGAGCAAACTAAGATAGCCATCTAGAGGCATCTTGGCGCTGGAAACGGTGCATATAATGAGATCGAGCGTTTGTGCGTTGTGCTTGGCCCAATCCTTATCTTCGTCAGTGGAAACGTAGAGGTCAGCGCCTAGCTTGAGAACGTCATCGCGCTTCTCAGCCTTGCGGCTTATACCGACGACCTTGTCTGCACCCAGGGCTTTGGCAAAGAGAACACCGAAATGACCTAAGCCCCCTACTCCAACAATTCCGACAGTTTTGCCAGGACCACAGCCATAACGCTTCAACGGAGAGTAGACGGTGATTCCGCCGCAAAGCATCGGCGCAGCATCCGCACTATCCAAGCCGTCAGGGATACTTAGGACGAAGTGTCCGTTTGTGCGGTTGTGTGTAGCGTATCCACCATAGCTTTTGCCCTCGTCGCGTGGGTAGATGGAGCCATAAGTGTTTACTGTCTCGCGGTGGCAATGGTTCTCGATGCCGTTCGAGCAATCGGGACAGTCTGGTTGAAGGCATGAGCGTGCTTGCGCGCCGACACCAACACGGTCGCCCTGCTTGACGTGCTTGACGTTCTTGCCAACCTTGACGGCTTTGCCGATGATCTCGTGACCGACGACGCAGGCTAATAACCATCAGTACGGTGAAGCAGTTGACACAGTCTGTAACATACGATATGGTGTAGGGCCCCAGCCAGATTTCAACATGTGCAAGTCTGATCCACAGATACCGCAGTGAGAGATCTCAATGTCAACATCGTCTTCGGTCCACTTTTTAGGTTCAAATTGACCCCACTCCATCTTTCCCTTGACACTCTCCTCGTCCTTGCCGAGCCATCCTTGGAATTTTGTATCTGTCGCCATTGTGTAGTTCGTATTGTTGTAAGCGTACGTGCTCGATGTTGGTGTTGGTGTTGTAGTTGTAGTTGTAGTGGGTGGGATGTTTGGCCGCACCATCCGTGCACAAACACTTATATATCAGCAACGACCGTTAACTCCGTGGACATTCCGATATGACGTTCACTATGAGCCTGGCCCGTCTAGAAGAGCCTCAAGGCAGCCTATGCAGGCGGACTGCGGAACTGAGCTATTCTGGTTGGTCCCATCGTCACTCTCATGAGCGCCCATTGGCTACCTTCGCCATCATAGACCTTTACGCGTACTTGTACTGCGGGGACAGTACCGGTTTCGTTTACTGATGCTGTGCGTCATCAGTTGAAAAATTATCCACCGCGTAGATAGCGGGAGTGAGGACTTCTCCTATTGGTCGCGTGCCTTGCGCTAATGCGACCGCCGATGGATATCGGGCCACTGCCAAAGATTGTCGGCGGACCGACTGATGCAGACCGATGACAATGCACCGGGGTCTGGTGATATCGGGGTTAAACGCGGAGAATGCAACTCTGAGGGCGGTTGCATCGTGTCACGGAGATGACTGGATGCCGAAGTTGTATGGAGTCTATGGAGTCGTTGCAGTGTGAGGATCACATGGGAATGTGCAACAAGATAATCAGTGTATCATTTGTTACCTCAAACGTTGGAACTTGTCTTCTTCAGCCATTGTCTTGTCGACACGTTCAATCGTTTCGGCGTCATATACTTCCTCTAAGCTTTTTTGGCCTTTTAACACTTCCCTCTCATGCTTTGTTGCCTCTTCTTTCGTCATAAGAACCAAGTCCTTCATCTGGAGATGACTATTCTTCTGACCCGGTGTTCTCTCATCAACAAAACTCAGAGCTGGCTTAGTCCATCGTGTCAATACTAGGCGTGTAGACAACCCACTGATGATACTTCGGCCATGGTATACTTCTTCTACTAGATAGCCCACATCATCTTGTGTTATGGGAATCTTGAGACCCAGTGGGTCCTCGCTGAAGAGTGCACGTGCCAGTCTTTCTTCGGCACCTTGGAGAGCACCTAAAATTCCGTCGTACATCTTGTCGCGTGACTTGGCTGGCAAGTATTCGTGAGGGTAGCCAGAGATGGAAAGGATGACATGATTCGCAACTGCGAGACCGAAGATGGCTGGCATAGTACCCAAAACTGGCAAGATTCGTACCCGGAAATCTGCAAGAACACCAAGCTCTCCCACGTTGCCTTTCGCAAATTCTTCTTCGGAGAGAGGTTGGAGCTCAGCCTTCCCTGGGCCTGGCCTTTCTGTAGAGTAGACAACTGGTATGCCGTCCTTGACACCCTTCAAGCGTAGCTTTCGCCTTGTAGACTTTGACAACGGGTCGTCTGTACTTGTGGAGATGTCGCCAATGAATATTCGTGTAGGATCAGACTTGCATCCTGCACCCATGGAAGATATGACCTTGATGTTATTCATGTAACAGTATGCCAGAAGTGCAACCTTGCTGTCAATGTTGTCGATAGCGTCGATAACAAAATCCGGCTGCTGATGGTTCATGGGTGCTAGCTGAGCTGCAGCAGTATGCTCGGCAAAGAGTTCATTTCGGCATTCGAAATGGGTCCAGGGTGTGATTTGTTCGAGTCGTTTGCGGAGGCAGTGAACCTTGGGCGTTCCGACATCTGCTAGTGTAGCAACTGCATGCCGATTGAGCGAAGACAGCGTGACCTGGTCAAAGTCGATAAGCCTAAGTTTGGAGCATCCTGAGCGAGCGAGGGCGGCCGTAGCATGTGATCCGACGCCTCCGCATCCGACTACAATTACGAAGGCATTCCTTAGCTTGGCGATTCCAGGATCTGTGAGAAAGACTCTATTTCTTGCGAGTTGTTCAAGGATGAGATCTGGTGCACTAGTCAGAGTTGAACTGGCATTTCATGAAAGAATCAATACCGTCGTCGTAGTCACCTTTCCTTGCCCTTGCGGCTAATGCCATACTCCGCTCATCTTCCTTGCTTGGGGCGAAGACGTTGGAAGCAGCACCATATTCGGTCAGCTGGGTGATGTTAGCGAGTATTTAGGTGTCAGCTCGATGATCGAGTATGCAGCCGATTCGATATTCGGGTACTCACTCTGGACGCGCGATGTTCGTCACTGACGTCTGGAATCGATGCCTTCAGATCAGCTACCCTTGTCAAGCGCCGAGCTTTCTGAAAACCTAGAATCGCACTGCCCACGACAAAGCCTGACACGGCTGCAGTCGTGATGAGCTGAGCATTGTGAGACTCAGTTGCTCGCGACAGCCAGGAAGGCATTTTAGCGGGTTGACGTCACACTTTATGCGATGATGTCCTCAATGCAGATCCGCATAGCCGTCTATGTACAGTAGAAGAAACAGAAACGAAGAGGGCTGCGCATGTACTGGAAACCCGTAAAACGGCCGGACTTGATGATTTGTATGTGGTGTCGAATATGCATGCAGGTGCGGCTGTCAAGACTAGCGTGCATGCGGTAAGCGCCAAACCCTCGTCGTCAAAAATGCAGATGACCATTAGGGAGCAGGCGCCAGCGAACCAGACGAGCACGGGTAGACGCGTTCTGAGACATCCCTCACGCGCCGTAAAGGACGCCGAAGCCGTGGGAGTCGCTCTCTGGCTCACGAGGGGCATTCCCATCACCTCCGACGACCAACAACCCACGTCTCGGAAGACTGAACAACATTCATCATGTCCAAACTCACCTTGGGTTTGATAGCTGCTGGTGGTGCAGCTGCAGGAGCTGCAGCGACTGCAGCGCTTTACTCTGCAAAGAAGGATGGCCCTCCGTCTGCACCATCCGTCATCACGACTACGACGACAACCATAGCTGGGCCCGGCCGGCCAGCGCCTGTACCCTCGGTCCCTGCCACGCCATCGCCCGCTGTGGCTGTGGCTGCCCGGAGAGCAGTCGTAGACCCCAACGGTCTCTTCCAATATGGGTTCCCGGGCCCAGTCAACGATCTCCGGCCTGCCGCCTCCCTCACATCAAGTTACGACCGACGAACACGAAACCCCGCATGGGTCGCCGAGCACATTACGCCCGAGTCGCTAGCCAACAGCAACGCGGACAGGAAACACAGCGTGTTTGTAGAAGACGTGACGATCCCCGAGATGTTCCGTGCAAAGCTGAAGGACTACTTCCGCTCTGGCTACGATAGGGGGCATCAAGTCCCTGCTGCAGATGCCAAGTGGAGCCAGGAAGCCATGGACGATACTTTTGCGTTGAGCAACATGTGTCCGCAAGTGGGCGATGGCTTCAACCGCGACTACTGGGCGCATTTCGAAGACTTCTGCCGGAGGCTCACACACTCGTACCCCTCGGTCCGCATCGTAACCGGCCCTCTGTATCTCCCCAAGCGCGAGGCCGACGGCAAATGGCGAGTGTCATATGAAGTCATCGGCTCACCACCCAACGTGGCTGTGCCTACACATTTCTACAAGGTCATCTTCGCCGAAGACGGGAAGCTGGGGGGCAAGGTGGCGCTGGGTGCTTTTGTGCTGCCGAATGCCGTCATTCCCAGCCACAAACCGTTGACGGATTTTGAAGTACCGGTCGAGGCGGTGGAGAGGGCTAGTGGACTGGAATTTGCGACTAAGCTCACGCCAGAGAGGAAGAAGAGGTTGTGCCAGGAGGTCAATTGCAGTGTCATTGTAAAGGAGTATGCGCAGAGGCAGAAGACGTTTGCTAAGAAATAGGCTTCCAAGCCATGACGAGATGTTATTCATGGTACAGTGTATAGTACATTGTGGTCCTCCGCGGTGTTGTAATGTCGTGATGGCGCAGTCCAACCAAGCCTTTACAGGTTCTGCACGGCACCGCCCTGGGCACTCTCGCGCTGTATTCTGCCGACGTACTGCTTGCTCACAGTATTCCATGCGCTCATGTACTTTTCCATGCATGCGCTCATGCAGCTTTCTTCGCCTTTGGAGAGGGCGGCACCGGGCTTGGGGATGCAGCGCTCGAAGCAGTGCTCGTTGAGTTTCTGGGAAGGCGTCAGTACGACGTGCACCGCCATGCAGAGACAGTATATGCCCCGGACCGACGGACCTCGACAAGCATGCGCGCATTCTGCATAGCCGCTTCCTGCTGGACCTGGCGCATGACGGCCGTCTTTGGGTCGCTCGGGTAAGAGGACATGCCGCCCAGGGAGTCCATGGTCTCGGGTGGGTGTGCGTCTGGGGGTGAAGGGGCGTGGGTCGTGGGGCGTGGTGCTGCGAAAAGGTGCGTCGTGCGTGCTTGTCGACGTCAAGAGCGCCTCTCTCGCTAGCGTAGTCGCTGCAACCCGAGACGGTGGACCCCTGCAATGCACGCCGAGGTGATAGAGTGGCCTTTCCATGTCGACGATTCACTCTGCCAACTCCAGCACGCCACGCCCCGTCCCAGTCGCCCGACCCGTGCCTCTCTTATTGTTTCCCCCAACCACTACAACGCAGTCTTGGTGCCACTCTTTCTTCCGCGCCAGTACTCTCTTGGTGCGCGACCATGTTGGCAGCAAGACCATGGACGAGCCTGTGCTTGCTTGCAGGCAGCTGGACGGGTGCTTGGGCGCGGTCCGGGGGATTGAGCGAGGACCCTGATATCAAGGCCATCTCGCTGCGAACACACAGTCTCGAGCCCGTAAGTCGCATGTCCTCTGCGCCCATGCAAACATGCCCTGACGCCGCACACAGCCGTACCTCGACTCGGACATGCAGAGCCGCTGGTGGGATTTTGGCGGAGACACGATTATTCGGACTGATAAGTACATTCGACTGGCTTCAGACAAGCCCTCGCGCGACGGCTGGCTGTTTTCGCGCGTGCCTCTGACAGCGACCAACTGGGAGGTAGGCTGCACTCTGTCCCACCACATGTCCCAGACGCTTACGCCAGTAGATCACATTCGAGTTCAAGATCCACGGCCAAGGCAACCTCTACGGCGATGGCTTCGCCATGTGGCTCACCAAGCAGCGCGCGCAGCCAGGAAACGTCTTCGGCCACACCGACAAGTTTGAGGGCCTCGGCCTCTTCTTCGACACATACAAGAACAACCGCCCCGGCACCGTGTTTCCCTACATCATGGCCATGAACGGAGATGGAAACACGCCCTACGACAAGGACAACGACGGCAAGGCCAACGAGGTCGCTGGATGCTCTGTACGTGCTGCCTGGCCCATATGGCCCTCTCGATACTAACGCCAACTAGGCCCGTGGCATTCGCAATGCCCAGATCGCCACCAAAGCTCGTCTCACGTATTTCCAAGAACAATTCCTCCGCCTCGAGCTCCAGTACAAGTCAGAGGGCGAATGGACCCAATGCTTCGAGATCCCCAACTTCAAGGTTCCGCCCGTCGCCTACTTGGGTTTCTCCGCCGAAACCGGCGAACTGTCCGACAACCACGACATCGTTTCAGTCAAGTCGCAAAATCTCTACAAAAAGACCCCTGGGTCGGCTTCCTCGTCAGGAAGCTCAGGGGGCAAGACTGCCTCGTCTATGACGCGCGAAAAGAGCAGCAGCGGTGGAAGCTGGACTTGGTTCCTCGTCAAGTTTGTGCTATTTGGCCTAGCCCTGACCGGTGCCTATGTCGGCTTTACCGTTTACAGGACCAAGCAAAGAGACCGTTTTTAGGGGAACAGCTCCTACCTCAAGTTCAAGGGCAACAAAAAGCTTGCTTGGCTGGGCCCACCAATGCTCCAGTTTGATGGGTGTGTCGAAGTCGGCGATGAGAATGACTGGATGGCACTGTACAGGGTTGGATGATGGAGTCGAGCTGTGCAAAAAATGGCCTGGAGAGGCCACGCGCATTGTTTTCTATCTCACCTAGCGCTCTTACTTCTCTTTCCTAGCATGTATCAATCGTAACACCTTAGCGTGACATGCCCAAGGTGGAAGCCATGTCTCCGCATATAATAACACGCCTCTGTACAGAATTTCACAAAGGCTGCCGATGAAAGCAAGCGGAGTGGGTTGAGGGTTGCTCTAGCATCCGTTTTAGGTGACCTGGCTACATGGAGTAATGGAAGCGGCCACGATGTCGAATGCTTTATTCATAGTCAAGCAACACATAAGACAGTGCTCCATGATTGCATGCTTGTGTTGGGATAGACATACGTGCATTATACATACATACCGATGTGCACGTCGTGCCAATCGTCTTTAGCAAGACAGCGAATGTACAATTGACAAGCTTCACCTTCGACAGATGACAATATATGTAGACACAACCCGGATGTACAGACTGCTTTTGTGGAGACGCCAAGACATAGTTTTTTAAACTAGTAGTTTGGTTTCTTGATCGACGCCGGTGGAAGGACAAGACGCTTATGTCATTAGCGCGCTGCTAGCACGGCCCGTGATTGCGCGCCCAAGTTTCCAGGCTGCGCGTCGGCAGCTTTCTCTCACTACCCACAACCCGAGCAGCGAGTAAGTAGCCCCGACCGCTATTATCTAGCTTAGAATGCGCCGGCTGTAAGCGCACGCGAAACAACAGCTAACGCCCATCAGATCCCAGTGAACGACAAACCTTCGTCACAAGGCGATGCTGGGGACTAATCACCCCGGCGTCTCACTGCATGACAATCAAGAACGGAAAGCGGAGGGAGTGCGCCATCATACTAGATGTAGCCACATCGCTCAACTCATCATTGCACAACGCTGATGGAGGCGATTTCGCAAAGCCACTGGGTTCACCATCACCAGACTCCAGCCCCAGCCTTTCCCACTGCGCACTGAGGAAGAATAAAAAAGGTTGAAGCGCCGTGCTACCTCGCCTAACAAGCTTGGAGGACGAAGTTCGCTCTTGACGACATGAAGAGTAGTTTTCAATCCGAGCGCCTTTGCCCTTGTGGCATCGCTGGTCGTGGGGATGCGTGGTCTTTGTCGTTGGGTCTGTGGGTCTAGGTGGTGGTGCTTGTATTAGAGGGTTGTTTTCTTTTCAAAGTCCTGTTTTACAGACGGGCGGAAGGGGTCCAGTGATGATGTCCCTGTGGGGGCATTAAAGCCAAAGTCGAGTTGAGGAGCCCGATCATTGCCTGCTGAGAGGTCGAAAGACTCATCGATGGGGAATGGACGAGGTTCCTTCTGAGGACAGCAGGAGAGCTAATCTGAGGACCATAAATATATAACGTACTGCTTATAACAAAGGCCATCTCTTCACTTGCCCCGGTTGACTTGTTCAAAGATATGCTAGCATCTACAAGCTATTTCAGCCCAAGCTCGAATCCAAGCTTGGTATGTCGTACGTTCTACACTTCAAAGGTCGAGGCCCCGGCTTGTGACAGTCGTCGACGCGTAAACTACTCGTAGACGTAGCAGAACGGTCCGGCAACCGTGCTAACCAAATCCTTGATCTTATATGCCTTGCCGTCTACATTCAACACCTCCAGGTCTACAGTATCCTCCAAACTCTGCGCCCTCCCACCGCCCATCATTGACGTGCCACCTGCGATAACCTGCTGCCTGTTTGGATAGTCTTGGCTCTGCCAAATAGACCATACACGGTCGATCATGGCGTGATGAAGGTAGAAATATGGGTCTGCGGCATCGCGTTGATCAGTTGGGAAGCTGCAAATGAAGAAAAGGAATGGTACTCACCACCAGGCGAAGTATAGAAATCACTCCCCGGGTCACCAGCAACCGTGAAATGCCCCGCCCCGTGGACACCCGTCGCTCCTTGCATAACATCTTGAAATGTTGCAATAGTCCTGCTGCTTGTGATCAAAGCAGCAGTCTTATCTGTCGTCGCGTACAGTTGCGTAAGGTAGTTGCTGATATCGCGCTTGATGCACCGAGGATTGTACCCAAAGCCATCTGATCGTGGATTACGTGGAGCCTGCGGACTGTCCATTGCTGCCAGCGGTCTGGGAGAAGTCAGCAGATGCACATATAGGATACTGGCAGGGGCAGTATGGCACTACAAGTATGGAAGGTGGTACATACCCCAGGTTAACCATCATACCCTTGAACGGCCCACTAGCAATACATCCTCCCCCGTTGCCAGCCGGCTTCAACCCATTGCTATTATGTTGCACCTTTTCGCCCTGGCCACTCATACTCGTGTCGCTGCCATCGAAAATCGGACTAGTCTCTGGGCTGGCTGCCCATCGTCCCCAGTCCCAGTATGGCTGGGTACCATTGTAGCCACATTCGACTCTCAACGCGTTCTCATACGCAAACGTGTAGTATCGATGCCAGGATAGGAAGTTCCCTGTGCCATGGATTGAAAGCGTGTATTTCATATGAATTGCTACAAAGTCGTCGAACCGTGATTTGGCGCCGGGGTACACGGTAGAGAGCTTGGAGGGCGCTTTGGTTATGCACTGGACGGCGGCAATGTAGGCGCGCTTTTCCGAGGCGCTGATACTGCCCCTGATTGTACATGTTAGCTGGCGGTGTATGGAAAAGTCCTAGGGTGCCTTTGGACATACCATTCTCGGCGTACGCGGAGTTTGTCTTTGGTACACGTTGTTGAGTTGGCAATGGCGGCGTCGATGGCTGCTCGGCCCTTGGTCTGCAGATCACCAACTGCGTCTGCTGCACAGAGTATTTGTAGTACGGACAGTGAGATGAAGAGGACATACAGCGCCCCAAGATGGAATGCTGCCATCTTTGACTTGGAGGCAGCGCTCACTGACTTGACTGCTATATAATAAAGGCAGGACCCATCTTATATATGAGATCTCTGGGCATAAGCGCCGATGTACAGGCAAAATTACCTAGGTAGTTGCTCGGATCTTTCCAGCCGTGATCTATATGACAGTCATGTCGGAAAGAGTCTTGTTAGATGGGGGCTTTGATTGATGTATCAAGAGTTTCCACATGCGAATATGTTATATGTTGAGGGATGAAGCGTGTGATGCGTTCGGCAGATGCAGGTCGAACACACAAGATTTTGATCGAAGACCTAGAACAAACGTAGACTACGGGCTCAGATACATTGTATAGCTAGGCATGGCCCGAGGATAGATCTACCAACTTTGAGTAGAGTGTCTTGCGTAAGAGTCCCTTGCGTCTAACTACCGGTCTTCAAAGCAAGCTGGAGCGACAATAGCGCAGAAGACAGGCAATAGCTGTAATTCTATCACATTTGAAGTGACGTGTCAGGGAGTGACCAGCTCTGTTCAGTGAGTAGTACTCACAGTCTCCACTTGCTAGTTGTGCCGTAGATGCTACAAGCATATCTGTCGCCAAGGCGGTAACATTCGTCTACGCTGTCTAGACGAGACGGCCAGTACATGCCAAGAGTGAGGCTAATATGAATGACTGCGAGGCGTAGTAGTAATCTTGAAGATCTTGCGCGTCCTAGGACGACGTCCAGGGTCCATAGATGTGTGCCGTGCTCGCCAAGGCATGGTAGATTTAGGCAACACTTTCTAGTTTGCACGCAGCTGTTGTACGCCGTTTGTAGGAATGGTTCTGGCTGTTTCCGACGTCCAAGAAAGCTTCACGAAAATGCCAAAGGAACACTCGAAAGCTCAGCGGAGATGGGCGTAAACCGACGTCGCAGTAGATGCTCGCACGACATGACCCATGCATGGATCTGCGAATCTATGCGAGAAAGACGCTAGATGCCGGCGGTTCGTTGAAATGAAGGCATGGTTATTTAGCCGGTAACAAATCCACCCATCCATCCCTCTTGTCGGAGCTTTCCGACCGAGAGGGTAGAACACTATAAGATGCAGTGAGTACTATGTCAGTCCCAAGATCGACGAGGTTTGACCTTGGGCGTCCCGAGGTCGTCTCAATCCCGGCCATCGGAATCGCCATCGGAATCGGAGGTACATTGCTCAGTGGCCTCTGGAATGAGTGGGATCCATACATCCTGTAAAACATCCTTGTCTAGAGTACTCCCTGTCGCATAAATGACCACCAGAAACCTCTCACAACCAGTGGCGAGTTTAATTTCTAGGTTGTAACGTGTGCAGTCACGTACGTCCAGATTGCTGGTCGGGAGACGTCGTGTAGACTTCAAGCGCCAAGGCCCAAGGTATCTGTTGATACGGAGCTTTCTTCGCCAGTCAAGCATCGATCAAGAAGTCCTAATTATTCGAAAATTATCAAGTCTCCCACGTGGCTGCCGGAGACGTATGTCGGCAGTAGGTCCCACACCTCGGTGTTTAAGGTCCGAAGGCAACTGACGAGTATCACCATGCACCATCGCATGAGCCAAGCCATCTTTCGATATCGTTGCTCTTCCGGTCATTTTCATTCTGTCTTCTACTCGTATCCTCATCTCTACACCCCATGACCACGGAGCTCCCGGGATACTCGTTCATCGGTGTCTCTGACGCAGCTTTGTTGTACCACTGTGCAAACCCCATCTATCTACTAGCCTCCAAAATATTCCTCTCCAGACCACTCACCGCCTCCCTCACACTAGGCGCAAAGTGTCTTCTCAGAATCTCTCCCTCCCAAACGGTCCCTGCGAAAGGATTACTACCCTCAATCTCAGGTTTCAGTGCATCAAACACTCCATCGCCCCGTCTCTCCTCTGTATTCCATAGAGGCGCTACTTTTTTGCCATGCGTCTTGGTGACACGATTTATTAGCCCAAGCATAGCGGTACAAGACTTCTCGGGGAGATGCATGGATATGGACATCAGTTGTTTGGCGAAAGCTGCAACGCGGAGGGGCGGAACGGCGCGAATTGAGGTGGCGGGTAGGAGGACGGAGGAGAGGGAGCGGATAAGTAGGACGATGGTGGTTTGTACGTTGATTTTTGCGGTGTCGGCATGTGATGTCGCAGCGTTGGGGTCGGGAAGATGGAGAGACTTGGAGCTGAGTTCGATGTCTGGGTTCAATGCGACAGGATGTAGTGTGCGGTAGAGATGGGTGATGAAATAGCTGAGGTCGAGTTTCAAGACTGACGCTGTTTTCGCTCCGTCTTGGCCTTCGAGTAGTGCAAAGGCTGTAATGACGCAAAGGAGAGACTCGCGCGTAAGGTTGCGCTCGGGTGCTTCGTTATCGTCATCTTCATCCGATGCGTCTTCGTCGTCTTCAACTGCGGCAGCGGCCGTAAGCTCGGCGGTGGCGATGATGTCTCGAAGAGCTTCCAGGATATCTCCAAAGAAATCTTGGTTGATCAGGTGTGCGTATCGTGCCAGACCTTCCAACACCGCACCCATGAGTTTGGGCGAGCGAGCCTTTAGGATTCGGAAGTATGCCACAAACACCATCTTGAGCGTCTCAGCCTGCATCCTGTCACGCTCCTCGTGACTGACAGCTGCATCCGCCTCCTTGAACTCCTTCTCGATCGCTTTCCTCTCCTTGAGCTCCTTTCGTAACCTCTTTGTCCTGAACTCGCGCTTCTGCTTCATCTTCTTGCCATTGACCATTGGGTCTTCCGCCTTGTCGACGGAATGATATGAGGCCTTCTGCGCAAACTCTGACAGTAGCCGCAGGTGCAGAAACGTGTTCAGCACGCTTTCGTCGAAGTGGTAGTTCCGGCTCTTCATCATCTTTGTCAACATGGTGACGGCTTCCAGCGCAGCGTTGCCATCCTCATCGTTCTCAAACAGGGTTTCCATGGCCTCCCTGCATCGTACAAAGTCGGCATCCACCCTCCTCGTGCTAAGTTTGCCAACGAGAATCTTCAACAGCTCTCCACGGAAGTTGAAATGCGGCACCGAGTTGAGCAGGTTGCATGCGCAGCTGACAGCGACTGTTGCCAGACCAGCCATGTGCTCTTTGTCCGATCCGCTCGACTTTGCTAGCCTCGCGAGGTGCTTTACATATGCCTCGTAGCTGGATACCAGCTTCTGCTCGAACTGCCGCAACTTCTTGACTTCCTTTGAGATCTTCTCTTGCATCTTCTCTTCCGACAACGGCCGAATCCTGTATCCGGGGATAATGTCCTTGAAGATGGAGACTTGTGTCGCCAACGCCAGCTTCTTGACGGTAGTGTTGTCCGAGTCGGCGAGGGCTTGCAGTGCCTTGAGCGCTCCAACGTGCTCCTCGGGGTCCTCGTTGACCAGACCTGCTATGCGCGCAAGCTCTTCCTTGGCGTCGAGTATCTGTTGTCGCGCTGGTATCTTGGGCTTCTCCTCGTCCACGTCTTGTAGATGCGACGCCTCGAGCGCCCCGTCGTCGCTGCCAGAGGCGAGAAAGCTGTCGGATTCTTCCTCTTTGATATCCTGCGCATTGGGCGGCGCCGCTACCCATCCCTCGGTTGTCCTGACGGGCAGCTTCTTGTTCTCCCTCTGCTTCTTCAGTCTGCGCGGTCGCGTTTCGTAGTCTTGTTCGAGATGCCATTTCGCGGCGTTCTTCACGAAGCTTGCCTGGTGGTCTTCGGCCGCGCCGCTGGCATGCTCGCCGTGTTCGGGCGGAGACAGCCGCCTTCTCTTCGCAGCCGGGACGCGAGACATGGCGCAGGTGCTCGTGGGCCGATGTGGGCGACGGTCAGGCTTGGTTGGGGATTGCACACCCGACTGTCTGAAATTTTGGCGGAGGCTGCGGAGGAGCCTAGCCCGGCTAGCATGCGCCCCACAAATTTTTGGCAGCAGAGGTCGACTTTGCGAACATGCGCCCAGCCCCAACCTCAACTCAGCACTTGTCTACATACGCCCACGATGAGGCCGCTCACAGAACCAGAGACCAAGACGCTCTTTGAGAAGCTCGCGACGTATTGCGGAAAGGGCATATCGAACCTCATCGCCGACCCTACAGGCGGGTCGGATCGCAATGTCTTCCGCGTCCAGGTATTCACTCTTCCAACCGCCCCCACCCGTCGCCAGCTAGCTCAACTTGCTAACAATCAACGCATAGGGCTCACGAGTCTACTACGTCCGCGAGTCCCTCGCCAATCTTGCCACATCCGTCGCGCGCGACAACCTCCTCTCTCTCGGCATCTGCCTGGGCAAATTCACCAAGACGGGCAAATTCCGCCTGCACATCACCGCGCTGAGTGTAATCGCCCCGCACGCACGATACAAGGTCTGGGTCAAGCAAAACGGCGAGATGCCCTTCCTGTACGGCGGCAATGTGCTCAAGGCGCATGTCGGACGGTGGAGTGAGGATTGCCCAGAACATCAAGGTGTTGTTGTGCTGAGTATGAACGATACGCCATTGGTAAGTCGGCCGCCAGCTGCAAAGCGACGAATCGAATCTTGAGCTAACATGCAACATCAGGGCTTTGGTGTGAGTGCACGATCGACGGCCGAGGCGAGGAAACTGGATCCTACGGGTATTGTCACCTTCAGACAAGCGGATATCGGAGAATACCTGAGAGAGGAAGACACTTTGTTCACAACTTGAGCGGCCGGGAGCCTGTGCGACCATGGACACTCTGCAAGAGAAGCTTACTGCTTCGCCACAACCGGGGCCAGAAACCAAGGCTCGCGTGCACGGCATATCCGTTTGCTACCCACTCGCATTCACTATGACAATACGCTGAGTAGTCCATCTGATGGTATCTAAGCATGAATGACCAAAGCATCATGCGCCACTTGCATTGTCATGCTGACTTGGACTTGCTCTTGCTTGTCCCAATGATTCTAATCTACATAAGTTTTGTGAAGCCGGTCGCTCGGCAAGGGTATCAATGTCTGATTCTCGTCTCCCAGCCAAGTAGAAGCTGTACTTGGAAAGTCGTAGTCTGCTGCTACACACTTCACCGCCGAAACTCCGCGCTCAACCCAGTTTCTCAAGAAGCTTCCTCCTCCTGCGCTCGACTAGCTCGTTGTTGACCTCGTCAAGGGTTGGGATGCGCCATCGTATGCCGTCGCCCACGTCACCGGGTAATTCCATCCACTCCTTCTGTGTTTTGCTCGGCTTTGCGTCCAGTTCATCGCCGAGCAACATGAAATTGTCCCAGGCCTCCTGCTCTTTGGCCGTTTCATATGCTAGCAGCGTGCCGTCCTCTTCGTCTAGGTTGTAGCCGTAGTAGCCCGCATCCACCTTCTGCCTCAGTTCACTCCTCTTTTCGCGCCCCTTGTCCATGTCGTCTTCCGGTCTGCTCTGCCTCTCGAACAACTCCTTGACACCCGGCAGGTCCTTGGCTCGTCCAAAGTATCTGTATCCCTTTCCTCCTCCTGGCACCTCCCGCCCTTCTTCGTCAAGCACTCGCCCGCCTCTCATGTAGTTCGGTCCCCCCAAGCCTCTTATCTGACTTTCCCACATGTGCTTCTCTCTCATGAGTTTGTTGATCTCATCGTTGAGGTCGCGGATCTGGTAGTCTGAAAGGGCCTCGTCCTGGATCTTTGTGACTTTGCGCGAAATCTCCTTTAGCACCTGACCGCGCCATTTCTCGCAAACGGGAATCGAGTTGACAGAGGTGATGAGCTTGGGGCGGCGGGTACGCGATATGTCGATGATACCAGCTTCCGCGGCCTGCGCAGCGCGGAAGCGGAAAAGCATCGAGTGCGCTTTTTCGGAATTACGCGCCATGCTTGCGGTCCGGACTCGGGTTCGAGCTCCACGTTGCTGTAAGGTTGCAGGGGCGAGAGGGCCTCCTTCGATGGCAGTAGCTTTCTGTCGGAGCTAGACGGCGTGCCGTGTCGCGCTTTGGTGTCTTGTCGGGGCGAGATTTTATTAGGCGTAATATACGATGTTCTAATAGAGAAACAGATGCTGCCCCGCAGTTGCAGAAGTGAAGATTTGACAGAAACAAGATGCGCGATTGGTGTTCGTGTTGTCGTGGTCGAAGGAAGACTCAACGTGACAGGCGCGTTGGCTGGAGCAAAAGTTTAGTGTCCCGGCCTACTGTCTTGGCGTTATTGCGTACCCACTTGGAATTCGGGACCGCCACAATCCCGTCTTGATTTGTTTTGGTGCTGCAAGACTATTGCTCCATTCATAGCACACTGACGACCCCTCTTGCAGCCTGTTTTGGCATTGTGTCTAGTTTTGCTCTTGGCAAGAAGCAATCATCTGCACTATAAGGACGAAATGCAATGTGCAATCAATCTCGATCTTGTTTTATTTTTTATCAATCTGACCAGAGACAGTCGACGCTACACTTCTAAGCCCAGGTACAGACATTACATAACGCCCCTATGCTAAATATACAAGTAAAACAATACTGAATGTTGCAGGTCGAGGGAGAAAAATGAATCGGCCGCATATGTTTGAGATGCGCTTCTAGTAGAACGGAGACAAGACGGAGACTAGTCTAGGTGGGAAGCGTCAGGTCATCTCAGTGTACAGCTCCAACCCCAGTCGAGCGAACTGCGCAGAGTAAACAGGAAATACTTCACCGTTGAACGCCATGCACAAATCTCCTTGAATCCGCATTCGAATTTGAGTTTCTGCTTCGTCCGGATCCAAACCGAGGTGTAACGTCCAAAGGCCGAAAGATGAATTGATAGATACATAGGAAAATGGGAATGGCCCCCATACGAAACGACTAGTGCTAAAGGAAAAGAGACCGTCAGTTAGACCAGATGACTAGAGAAGCGTCGTGCGGGACAAACGCGGATGACAAAATAGGAAAGGTTCAGGTATAAGGTGAGATTATGCACCAGCTCCATAGTTCGCTGCCTCCATCTCAGCCTGATGGCGCAGCTGCTCGTTGCGCATCTCAGTTCGCGACTCCGTACGTGACTCCGTACGTGACTCAGTCCGGGACTCTGTGCGAGACTCAGTTCGGGATTGCGCGCGCGAACTTATGGAGCCGAAGAGCGAAGGCCTGGAAGCTGAAGAGTTGACGTGCCGACCTTTGATTGAATGTTGATGAAGATGTGCAACATCGTGCTTGCCTTGTGGACTCGTTAGCTTTCCTACACTGATGCAAACAATCAAGGGGTCTTACCATCGCAGCATGCTCGGACGTTGGGCATGAAGTCCTGATCACGTTCAACATGGTCATGGATATCACGACTGAGATCCATGTTGGACGCGCTGGGTTCCTCGTACGTGGCCGACTCTGTAGCGCTGGTCCTGCTGTTTCGCCGACTAGTGAAGGATCCGCGTAAAGCAGTGACGCTGGGTCGGAGCATGCTGTTGATTCGGCTGGAAACAGATCCATGCGCCAGCGGCTCGGTCGAGGTTGCACGATGTGGTGTAACATGCGACTGTCGAATCGTGGGCACTTGGCCATAATCCCGGGATGATGTGCGCCGGGTAACGTATGAGGACATCGAGCCTCTTGAACGGCCTGTTTGCCGAGAAGAGCTGCGATACCCGCCATTGAACTCGTCTTGAATCTCATCTGCGGTAGCTGCCTTCTGGTCTTGATCAGACTTCGTTGGCGACTTTTGCTGATCGTTCTCGTCGACCCGTTGGCACAGATAATTCAGAGCGTTATACCACGTCTCGTGCCTCTGACCTGTTGTAGCCGTGAACTTCATCGATCGACCAGGTGTGACGACAAGCAAGCTTTTCTGGTGAAGCCCAGGAGGTAGAGGGTTAGGGTCGTCGACTTCTTGAACAGATTCGATGGCTACGCTCTTAGCCTTCAATGTCGTCTTATCGGCACTCTGAGGGTCTCGGTCGCTCCAGTACAGTGTCCTAGTGTAAGGATGAATCCAGAAGAAACGCCGGTGACGGTTCTCAGACATGCCTTCGCGCCCAGTCTTGCGAGTGTACTTCCACAGATATTCGCCAATCATCGTCTGAGTGATGGCCTGGATCATGCGCGGATCTGTCGCACCGGGTGGCAATCCATTGGCAGCAAAAGACGGCCCCCCTGGAATATTGAAGCGTTGGTCTATTTCCGAAGTAAACGAAGATAGTGATGACCTCCGGCTAAGAGGTGAAGACGCTCCGCTACGCTGTGACTGTCGACGCACACGCGGTGTGGTCCCGCCTGTTCTGGGAGTGAGAGTGTTGTTACCAGTCTTGATGGTAGGCGTATGCGGTCGCTTCTTGTAGGCGGATGCAGGCATTGTAGGCGGGCCCATTGTGCCTGGGGAGATTGGTTTGAGAGAAGCCGCGGCGATGACTTCCTTATGATCCGAAGGCAGAGGAGGAGGCGTTGCAGCGCGAGAGCGCATGCTCCCCGAACTGCCTGGGCGTTTGGGTGTTCGACTTGTCTCATTGACATGCTTTTTGCTAGGCGACTCCGGCGGCGACAGCGACTTTTCAAGCCCGGACGTGGTTATCAAACTACTCCATCGCTGACTTCGAGCAAGCAGCAGCTTGTCGATCTGCTGAGCAGACACCATTGTCTGTGTAGCTCCATCGGCCATTGGCGTTTGGGGAGTCTTACTGGCGGCATTGACACTGACAGGTGGAAAGGCTGTGCTAGCATCCCTGCTATCAACCGGTGGGGTGTTAGCGTCCGTGGTATTCTTATTCCAAGATAGTAGAGTATCGAAGTAGCTGAGCTTGGGCGTGGATACTTGCTTATTCGCCGATGCTTCTGTCTGAGAAGAAGCACTAGTGGTTACGGAAGGCGCGGCGGCCCGATGAGCGGTACCAGGTCGCGGAGGAGCCAATGGTTCAGTATCCTGCGCAGCAACAGGGGACAATGTCATAGCAGGGACAGAAACACGATTTGCTGTGGATGGCCGACTTGTCGGTGTTGGCAAAAATGCCGGGAGCGTTGGCGACTCAGGCTGAGTGTCTTGAACAGTCCGCACATCGGAACTGTGATGTAGAGACACCGAAGGTACAGGTAGTGGGATCGGCACGGTCTGCAGTACGCAGACGGCTGACAATTGCAGTGGTATCTGTTCTGGCTTTACGGGTGTGGTGGCCTGAGACGAAACCCCAGAGAAATTAGCGAGAATTGGCCGCTCGGGTCCAATTGGCTCAGTAGTCAGCGAGGACAGTACGGAGATGGTCGACGGTGCTACCCTCAAAGGTTCAATGGGATTGGATGCCTGGATCGACAACGAAGATAGTTGTGACGGATCTGCTCTAGCCACTGCCACCGGGTCCGTAGAGCGAGCGGAGAAACTGGACAACACGAGTTGCGGCTGTCGTAGCGCAATAGGTTTCGTGACTTGTGCAGAAAGTGGAGAGAATTGTTGTCTACTGGTTCCCGGCGCGCGGGGTACTGTCGACTGAGTCGATGTCGTAGAAGATGCAGAGAGGACCACACGAGGCAAATCCTTGGGCTCAGTCGAGCGAGACACCAAAGGTGACATCTGTAACAACGTCGGCTTGTAGGGTGTGACTCTAGGCTCAGTCTCGTGGGCAGACAAACTTGACATTTGGAGTGGTGCACGCTTTTCTCTGTGACCGATATCTTGGGCAGGAGATGCCGGAAGCATATCGTCAGGGCTTCGATTTGACTCCGTTGTCGAGACATGTTCGGCTAGTTGTGCGGGCTCGGTCGATTGTGCATAGATAGCAGACGTAAAAAGACCTGCTGGAGCCACTAGGGTTGGGGCAGTCGCCTTCCGCGGCTCCGTAGTTTGATGCGAAATGGAGGAGATGTCCAAAGAAGGTGGAATGTCCTTCACCAGCACTGGTACAATAGGATCAGTGCCATGAGACGATACTGTCGACACCCCAAGAGCAGGAGGAGCAATAAGGCGAGGCTCGGTGCTATGAACAGCCACTGACGACATATTCAGAGGAGCAGTGGGTACGGCATGTGGCGCCGTGTTTTGTGCATGAAGCGGAGATAATGCGAACAACGGAGCTGAAGGGATTGTTGGCTCGGTCCCCTGACTTGAAAGAGAGGACACAGCCAGCTGAGGTATCTCTGGGGGTTGGGGACTAGTAGCATGACCGGAGACGGAAGAGAAGCCAAGGGCTGGCCGAAGTGCAAGCTTGGGTTCACTGTCTTGTGAGGTGACCATGGAGACGTCGAGATTTTGACGAGGCAAAGCTCGCGGGCTTGTGCCTTGCGAATGCAGGGCAGAGACTTGTAATGTAGGCAAGCGAGCAGCATACGGTTCTGTGTTCTGACTCGATATAGAGGATATGGAAATAGGCTCGGGGGCATGCTGTTCGGTCATCGTGCCCGAATCAACCATAGTTGGCCTGGGAGCATCGGGTTGGAGAAGCGACCTTCCGAGAACAGCCTTTCTTAGTGGATCTGGCGTGGCATGGCTTGAGTATACGACACTGGATCGACTTGGTGATCCCTCGATGGAACTAGCATCATCGTCATCGCCACTCAGGTCGTTGAGTTCTGCCAATAGACTCTTGCCTTGGGCGGGAGTGTTCTCGTTGCTGCTGCTGACGTAGCCCGCGGGCGAGTCTCTTGACGCTGGGGGCGTACCTGCGAAGAAATCTAACCCTCTCGGCGTCGATCTCCGCGAACTGCTGTCTCTAGCTCTTAACGTAAAGCGCGAAGTCTTGTGGTGAAGAGGAGTCCTGAAATCGGAATCGTATTCATCGCCAGAGGCAGAAGCAGTGCTGCGGTAGGAATTGATGCGACCAGCTTGTGAGATTGAGGGTCGACTACGCCGGGCAGCAGAGTTGGAAGGACCGGCCTCGGTCTCAGTCAGCTGGTCGCTGCTGTCTCCGTCGAGGGTCTCGGCTCCGGTTTGGAATGCGTCGGACTCAGTTGCCATACCGTCGCGTTCATTGGCAGTCTCGAAAGCAGCATCTGAGGTTTCGTTGGCAGTGTCGAGGTTTTCGTATGCGCTCGTTCCCGCGACGGAGCTGAGTGCATTTGGAAAGGAGCCCGGTACAGAGTTGGATGGGTGCGGTGGCCGACTTGGGGTGTCGGGCACGGCCTCTTGCTCTTCCCACTCGTCGTCTTCTACAATCTCGTGCGACACGTTGCGCAAGGCCCCAAGACGATCTGGTCGAGCGGGTTTCTTGAAAGCATCCTTGTCGCTCTTCCTTCGCTTGCTTGCGCTACCAGGTCCAACTTGAGCGCGGGTAGCGTCTACTTCATCACGAGCGTCTTGGAGCATGCGCTTCAGTTCGATCTTTTCGGTCTTTTCGCGATGGATATTGTTCTTGAGTTGCTGAATCATGCGGTGGGCGTGTTGAAGCGAATGTTTGAGTGTTTCCGATTCGAGCATACCGTGGCGCGGAGTGGCCTTGCTTGGAGACGGTTCAGGCGAGTGTTCAGGCGTTTGAGATTGCTGCCTGACACCACGATCGTCATCAGACGATCTGTCAGATCGGCCACGATGCTCTGATCGTGCGCGGTAAGCGACAGCTTGAGCCAGCTCTTGATTCTTTGTCATGAGCTCTTCGACCTTGCGCTGCATTGCACCTTTTTCCGTCTCCGTCGTGGCCGCGACTCGCCGCAGGCTAGAGAGCTCCGTCTCGTGCTGCTTGGTCTTGTTGATGTGATCGTCGTTGAGCTTGGTATACATCTGCTTCAAATCTTCCAACTCCTTCTCCAAAGTGGACCTCTCGGTACGTGCGAGATCCAAGGCATGATTGAGGCTTCGCTCCTTGTCTGCGGCCGACTTGAACTGTGTTTCCGACTCGCGAACCTGTGTCTCAAGATTCCAGTTGACGTCCTTGAGTCGCGATTCGCTTTCGTCCAATGTTCTCAGACGTTGCGACAAGCCTTCGACCTCGATTTCGAGCTGCGATCGGTCCAGATCAGCCGCCTTGAGGGCGTCATCCTTCTCGAGGAGGACGGCCTGGAGGTCCTTGAGCTGGGAAAGCAAAGAGGTGGAGATTTCGGTGGCCAGGGCGATGTCATTGATGCGGCTGGGCTGCTGGTTCCTCTGCTTCCGCGACGGAACGCTCACTTTGGTGGGTGACTGGATGGCGTCGCTGGAGTAGATGGAGCCACCGGCAGTGGGATCCGTCTCGCCACTGGGTACGCGAGACTTGGGGAGGAAGGCGCGAGCCGTCTCCCTTCCAACCTCGTTGAACTCCTTTTCTAGCTCGGCCAGCCTCTGGCGCAGCTCTGGCCCGATGTCGTTGTCTGGCTGCTGCTGCTCGACCTCGTGCAGCTTGTCCTCTAGCTCCTTTCTCTGCTGAACAAGCGCGCTCCCCAGATGCGACGTCTCCTGCAGTCTGCGCGTCGTCTCTGCCAAGTGTGCCTGTAGAGCGCGTTTGGCCTGTAGGGGTGATCCGTTCAAGTACAGCGAGAATTGCGAGTTGTCGAAGGCCGAGTATCGCTGCCGGTGGGCGTCGTGCGGTGCGGCGAGGAAGGGGTCGGCGCCATTGTGGTGCTCCACCGAGAGCGCGCCCGGTGGAGGATTTGCTGTAGCCATGAAGAGTCGCTGGATGCGTCTGCTATTGGGTCATCTCCTGGCGTGGCTCCCCCGCTTCCACGTAGACGTGCCCGGGACGGCGGGCGGAGACGGGATGCGTTGGGCGAACGGTGCAGGGCAGGAGTGGGCGGCGAGCGCGTGTCGTGGCGGCAGGCGGCGGCGGGGGTGTTTTCCGGGTAGTATTAGAGACAAGAGCGATGGTACGTCTCACTCTGTCGGGCTGTGGGTGTAATGCACAAAGGGTTTGGGGGGCAAGGACGCGCGGGAAAGCGACTGGGGACACGGCAGCGGCTGCTGGCACTCGGTCGCGTTTCCGTCACACTAGAGAAAAGAAGCAAAGGCGCATCCCCAGGCAGGGGCGCGGAATGGCGAAGAAAGAAAAACAAGGGAATGCCGAACGGGCTGGAGGGGCTACAGAGGCGACAGAGGAGGGATCATGGTAGAGCGCATGATGTTGTGCACAAGAGCGAAATGAGGCGACCGTGCGCTTTTGCCGCTTTCACGCTTTCGCCATGGAGCCAGCGCTGATACCCATAACATATCCACAACATCAACAAAGCTACGTCTGCGCCTCCATTGGTTCGCGCCGGCACTTGCTGCACGTCTGCTGCCTAGACTGCGAGACTGTCGTGGTAGTGCCGCGGGCCGAGGGGCTGTTTGCGTGTGCGATTGGAGCAACCCAAGCACGACGCGCATCGCATTACCCCACGACCGGCATCCCGGACCCCATCACGTGACGTCGAATTAATCAGCCACAGCTGCGCTGCCTCTCTGTGCCTCACTCCTACATGTCCAACATCTCGCACCTCCGCCACCCACGAAACCCCCGGCATGGAAGCACCCGTCGTCAAGTTCAAGAAGCGAGCAGCAAAAGCTGCGCCCCGGAAGGTGGCCCCGCCGCCGCCGCCGCAGTCGGATTCGGATTTCTCTTCCGGCTCAGAAGGAGAGGGCGAGCATGGCCGCGTGGTGAAGCGGCGAAAAGTCAACGACAACGCACTCAAGGCGTCGACTGCAGACCAGAAGACGCACGCGGCAGTTGCAAGTACAACGCAATACGCAGCAAATCGCTCGGCGGTCATGGAAGCAAGCAACGATGCGACGAAGCAGTCAAACTGGTACGACGAAAATGCCCGAGACGCTCTCAGCTCCAAGAACCTGCTCGGCAGCACGCGAACGAAGCCTCACCAACTCATCGAGAAGAACCCCGACGCTCCCAGTCGCCAAGTAGGACCCATGAAAGCATCGACAAACATACGGACGATTACCGTTACAGATTACACGCCGGATGTGTGCAAGGACTACAAGCAGACTGGTTTCTGTGGCTTCGGCGACAATTGCAAGTTTTTGCACGCGCGCGAAGATTACGCGGCAGGCTGGAAGCTAGACCGCGAGTGGGACATGTCGACCAAAGGCAAGAAACCTGGAGGCACCGTTGTCGCTTCTGCCAACAGGGATGAGAAGGAAAAGGACGAAGACGGAATGGATCTGGCGCAACTCGAAAAGATACCGTTTGTCTGCATCATCTGCAAGACGCCCTACAAGAGCCCCATCATCACCAAGTGTGGACACTACTTCTGCGAGCCTTGCGCTTTGAAGAGATATCGCAAAGATCCCACGTGTGCGGCGTGTAGTGCCAAGACGTATGGTGTCTTTAACGGCGCAAAGAATCTCCAGAAGCTGTTGGAAAAGAAACAGAAATGGGAGGACAAGAAGAAGGCTGAGGCAGAAGAAAAGCGGAAAGAAGAGGAAGGCGGCGACTGAGTCTGCTGGGTGGCATTACGGTGGAAACATCAACAAGCCGGCGCAAGCATGCGGCTGTGCTGGGCAACAGACGGTATCGTGGATGAACAGGCCATTCCTTCCCAGTCATAAAAGCGATACGTCACCTTGGAATGCAAGACGACATGACAAGGCAGAGGCATACCCACCGCAGCTCTCATGAGGCTTGAAGAGTAAACTTGCTGGCAAAGCTGCTGTCGTTGACAGGAAAAGAAACCAAGTCGCACGCCTCGTTGCAAGGTAGACTATACGACAAGTCCGTCCTCTGTTTGAGGAGGACAGGACTGGCTTGCGAAGCATATGAGGAAATATGCTACAGTAATACACATAGAAAGTAGACAGTGCGCTCATGCAAGTGTACATCAATCCTAATTAACGTGTTCACACTTTTCAGCCACGCCCACACAGTTCAGTCTACCATGCAGAGGCTCAATCTCTTCGTCTCCTCTATACTCGTCGTGATCTTCACGGTTTCAGACGACGTTTCACTCCACAAGAAGCATGGCACATCGCCGTAAACTCCCTAGAAGATGCTGTGGATACGGAAACCAAGATGGCGCGGAAAAGTATATGATAGTGGGAGATACTAGAGATCTAATGCGTTGCGATAGATACATGATATATACGCATACACGAGAAGCATCGAATAGCGGAAGAATACCACGGTAGTTTATTACATCTCACTTCGCTAATTTGAAGCACGTGTGGCACGAAGACAAGTAAGGTAGATAAAAGGTTCGTGATATTAATACAAGAAGGGTTTGAAGGCAAAAAGTCTAATTGTCACGTTCGCTAGACATAGAGCCGCACTCTACATCCCACTTCCGGCACCAGGAAAAGCCTTCAACAGGGTTGCATCGTACTTAATCAGCTCGGGGCAACCAAGCTCCGCAATAATCGGGTCTAGAACAGAAGCCAACTTTTGCACAGCGATCAAGACGTTGCCAACTAATCCGCGGAGGACGTCAGGAGCAGCTTCGCTGGCAGCCTGGAACGCAAGGCACATTAGGTTATTACCCTCGAGAAGCGTCTGCGCGTTGAGAACGTTGCCTGTCAAGTCGTCAACATCGACGCCAGTGAACGTGTTTGGCTGGCCAGTATTTCCGCCGATTCGGATTAATTCGGGGTGGGCTTTTTCGAGCGAAAGGGCTTCGGAAGTGAAGGCCAGGATGCTGTAGTCGTCGCCGATGACGCGGCGGTACCACTGTGATGTGTGTTAGCGAATGCAAGCGGATGGTGTTACCGTGGGTACTCACGTTCTCGGGGATCTTCTCTTGCCCACGAGCCCACTTGTAATTACCTTTCTCTCCAGTAACACCCTGGAATGACATGAGTGTCTCGGCATCAAGGTAGCCTTCTGGGTTTTCAGCAGTGTGGTTGGCGAAGAAACGGTAGGTGAATTGATATGTCGCGGGGTTAAGCGCAAGGGCCGTGAGTGGGCCTGAGAAGTAATGTCCATTCGTAGCAATCGAGTGCTTCGTGCGGTCAAGGCGGAACGCGGTCAAGACGGGGATATCAATCCCGTTCTCGCCGAGAGGCATAGAGAGGAGCTGCTCGAAATAGTCCAAGTTGAGAGAGATGGGGTTGCCCCTACGAGTAATGAGTTATGCTGACCATGCAACATGCAGAAGAAACGGGAATGACATACGTTGAGTACAAGTCCCCTCGCGTGGGAGATCCATCAACCTCGAAGCGGTTGTGTGACGCACTCAGGCCTTGTGGTTCTCCGAGAAGGCCGAGTGATGAGGTGACACCGCCTAGGAGTCCACCAGTCTTAGGTTTGCCGCCAATCGAAAAGGAGGTGAGATCACCGGCCATGACGGCGGAGTAGACTGCCAGAAATGCGGAAAGATCCAGGCCCATGCCAAACACTGACTTTGTTAGCAGTCCGTGAATAAGAGCGTAAAGGCATGCAGACCTTCATTGGCGGCCGTCGTCATTTGTGTGATTGTGGAGATGCCATTTCGGGGAAGGTAACCGTGGTTTGCCATCACGTTGATACCAGGACAGGGTCCACGGAGATCATTGGGGCCTGGCGCAATCTGACAACGAAGTCGTTAGCAAATGCAACTACATGTCGCGCATCTCGGTAGGGCTACTCACGTATTTATGGTCACCAGTGATACTGATGCGCTGAGCCTCTGCGTTGAATGCACGTTTGACGTGGGTACCCGATCGCTTACTCTCGAAATCTCTTGAGATATTCTCTGTCAAAGCGGTGATTTCCGCAAGGGTCGCTTCACTGATGTCGCCTTTGAGCATGCTCGCAGGGAAGGCGAAGGTCGCCAATGAGAAGAGCGATGCGCTGCATAGTACTGAGACCCTCATGTTTGCAACAACAAGCTCGGATGTTCGGGAAAGAGTGTGAAGGAAGGACGTGTAGTTGGATTGAGGAAGATGCGGTCAGCGACAGGGACGGATCGTTTAAGTTTCATAGTGGCAAATGAGTGCTGCACATACGTGGGCCGCCATGACTCTCCATCTAACTGTCGCCGATAGAGATGCCAATCCGGGGTCAGGTACCCTCCAGCACAGTCATGACAGCCCGCTTTACTTGCTTCAAATCGCAGGGTGGAGGGCCTGAGCAAAGAGATCGACGTGGGCGTTCTCTCTGCACGCCTTGACCAGCCGTAATCCGCTCGCGCGAGCCATATGGTTCAGTCCGTTCCCGGGTTTGCTAAATCCCGCGACTGGTGTTAAGGAGAATAAAGCGCTCGAGCCTTGCCTAGGCAAGAAGTTAGGCTTGCACTGGGTACATCGTAGGAATGTCGAGCGAGTGTCCCAAGACTTTTGAGCCCTGAACGGCGATCCAAGCGCGCCGGACCGTGTTCGGGTGGGTACCTAGGTAGTTAAGCCTCTAGATCGGCAGCTAGATCTCGCCTTTTTTACCGCATTTGGCTGACCAACGTTGTACAGAGATGATGAACGTTGCCCGCATCGATCAAAAGCGGGTTATCTATTTTCAACACGCGTGAGGCTGCAAGAAGATTGAGTGATCTATGCATCCCGCCCTCGCCCTACTTCCATGCGGCGGAAATGGAGATTGCGCAGGTGAACACCTGGGCATGTAAACCCGCCGGCAATAACACATCGGGCCAAGACGCATCCGAGACCAGCGCATGTGGTCTAGCGGGCATGATGTCTACCTAGGCCGTCGTTCATACGTGCTAGTAGGTTGAAGGTATATTCCTCGCTACCCAAGTCAGAGCCCAACGCAGGGACAACGTCGGACTGAAGATGTTATAGTTTCCAAAAGCCGATCATGGGTGACAAACCACTTTCGGGGACCAATGCAACAAGATCGGTGCATTACCCGGCGTGGGCTCCAAGTAGGGTCGCATGCGAGTTCAAGTCTCGCGCAGAGAGACCCCACTGCATGATTGGCGGCGAACAATGATACCTACGTACTATTCTAAGCGTCCCCACAAGCATACCTAGGTATGCCAAGTTTGTACTTCAGAACAGCCCCAATGTTCTAGTTTGCGTTATAGGAGACGGATCTCAGCCGGGTACCCACCACCCAAGGAAAAGGGTGAATACCGGCCACTACCCAGGTGGCCAAATTACATCCGCAACCCTAAGTATACTCGACATCGTTCGATATAAACTGGATCCTTGTCCCACGTCAGCATCGTAACGAAGCACCACAACTGGATCTTGATATAGCGCCAAGGAGCATTCGCTTCAATTCCTTCTCCTTTGCGTAATTCTTGAGTCCAATCCAAATGGCTGCCTACGATTCTTGGGTTAGCAACCCAGACGAGAGCCATGGACCGCTCATGTCCGTCGTCACCTGGTCGCTCGTTTCTGTTTCCGCAGTCTTTCTGTTCTCGCGGCTTTATATTCGGCAGCGTCAAGGGAAGCTGTGGCTGGACGATTGCACACTTTCCGTCAGTTGGGTAAGTGCCACAACATCCCGAGGTCCCTAAGCAAAGAGCAGCTGACTCATACGACATAGATCTTACTTCTGGTCCAAGTTACCATAAACCAACTGTCTATCAACATAGGCTACGGAAAACATACACTTGACCGTAAGTTGCCAAAGGAGAATTGCACATTTCACAGCTCGGAACGCTAATCTTTACGCTAGTCGATTTGCGCAATCTTGATAAAATGATGTATATCGGCGCGGCGGAACTGACGATATATACCGTCGCTATTGCGCTCAGCAAGATCTCCTTTGGACTCACTTTGCTTCGGTTGACGGACGGACGGGTCAGACTTTTCGTAATCTTTGCGATCTCTACCCTGGCGATTTTCGCAGTCCCTGCCACCGTCATACCATGGGTACAATGCAAACCGCTGGCCAAAACCTTTGTGGACCTCATACCGGGCGAGTGCATTGACAAGCATCCCTCTGTCGTGTATGGGCGTTTCCAAGCTGGTGAGCAGACAGCCTCAAAGTGTGTACCCTGATTCCTTAGCTGACATGCGACGCAGTGTGGTCAGCACTTATGGATGTGTGTCTTGCTGTGCTGCCGTGGAAAATCCTTTGGAATCTGCAAATGCGTACCGCAGAGAAGATCGGTGCAGGTGTCGCCATGAGTCTGGGAATACTGTAAGTTCATGCATTGCCGGATTGAAGACTGCGCTGACCTGGTCGAAGAGCTGGAGTTACGTCAATTATCAGATCCACATACATTGAGAAATTGACAGTCCAGGATGTATCATGTAAGGCATCTCAAGGCGTGCACGGATCATTGCTAACAGCCACAGATGAATCGTACAACTCCATCATATGGGCCGTCGCAGAGTGTTCCATGGCCATCGTGGCTACCTCGATTCCCGTACTTCGCGTCATTTTCAGGCAGGCGTTCAACTCGGCGATGGAAGGCTACACGGGCCAGAGTAAAAGCAAATCAAGATCGAACCCTTCCAACGCTGGGAGCTCGGGGAACCGATTGAGCACACGACAATTGAGCAAGAAGACGCCAGATATATCGGTCAGCGGAGAATCTGTGAAGGAAGTGTTCGGACGTGGATCACGTGGATCCAAGAACTATGTAGAGCTAGATGATTTGGTAGTCGACGAGGCGACTGGGCGCGCTACTGCTTCGTCTCTAGAGTCTCTGGCAAACGATGGCGAGCGCCATGTGCTAAACTGGCACGTGTAGCTTGCTCTGGGATTACCTAGGTAGCGCGCATAAGGCGGCTAGACCTCGAGGGGGCTGCGCGCGGACAAGTCGCATCGGCTCATCAATCCATCACTCCTGCTGCTGGGGGCTGTATTATTCATAAACAACATGGAGTCAATCATACCATCAATCCCGTCATCATAGTGGTGGCTCCAGATGTCGGCAGAAGGCCGAGTCACCGCTCTTTCCAGGCTGTGGGGCCACGTGGTTAGCGTTTTGGCTCGAGCGTCCGCGCGCTCCCCAGGACTGTCCACATGGTCGCACCCGAATGCTCAACCACGCTCGAGAGATCTTGTGCCCTAGGTGCTGCTTGGCTTCCTCGTTCCCATCATGGCCCCGACATGCTGCGCGCGGCTGCTATCCGACATTGATGCACAGACGGAGTGCAGCCAGGAAGCCACTTCCCGAGATGGCAAATTCTGCCCATTTCATGCTTGGCAATGCCACGGTAAGCAGAAGTCGCTATTGTCGTAGCGTTTCTAACACTACGCAGCTCTCTACCAGGGATACAAGCGGCGAAATGGCCTCCTCGACTCATTGGAGCTGCCTGCGTACCTCGCAAACACTACCAGATCCCTCATCGCCCAAGACTTCAACGATATCACGCAAACAACAGCAATCTCTGAATTACAGAGATATCTATTTCGAAGATACACTCTGCTCGATCGTGTACTCCGAGCGCGCAAACTGCATCATCGCCATTTCTTTGCAATGGACAATAACTATGGTCACACGGTATATCTGGACCAACTACAGAACAAGAAATACGAGACGGTGAAGGCTCTCGAGAAGCTTGGCAAACGAGCCGCCGCAGTCGTTCATGAAGAGCAGCGGTGGCATCACTGGGTGAGGGAATGTCAGGAGAAGGAGGAGGAACAGGCGCAGAGCGAAGCAAAGAAGGTGAAGCTGGAGTTTCAGCTCTTTAAAAGATACGAAAAGGAACTCGATCGTCGTCAACGGGACATGCGATCTAGAGAGATCAAGAGGCGCGAAGAACAGTACTTGAACCAAGTATATGCAGAGCGCGCCCAGACGATGTCAAGGGAAGAGGAAGAGGAATGGGAAGAGCAGTGGGACCCCATTCAAGATATTTATGGCTACGAAAGAGGTCGCTATGTCGAGCTCATCAATATGTTTCTGATGATCAGTGAGCAGGAACATGAAGACTATTGCGCAGGTGTGGAGGCATCTCAGCTTGATGGCCCTGCCGCACCGACATCTTCGCACCAAGCCACCGGACAAGCCGCGACGGGCAAGAAGTCCATCATAATGGAGACCAAGGAACAGATGCGCAGGAGACTTCAGACGCCTGTCAACTTCGAGCGCGCGCCAGGCCAATATCTTCCTGAGTTTTTAAGCCCAAGGACGACGACTCCCGTAGTTCCTCACGACGAGATCGAGACGCTCTTGGATGAGATTTGTGAGATCAAGAACTTTCTCTTCTGTCGACTTCTTTTGGCATCAAGTGCACTCCTGCCTATCGCACTCCAGGCCGGCAGCATAGAGGAACTCCTGCAAAGCGAAGGTGTGACAAGGGAACATTTACGAGATGTTTGCCTCAAGCTGGAGCGTCCCAGTCTTGAGAACATGCGAGACGCGTGTGCGGACTTCATGCGTGAAAGGGATGGGGCTGATGCACCAAAAGACATTGCCAAAGACCTCGCCCTGATGGACATTATCGACGCCCAACAGCGAATCCAGATCAGGGTCTGTGGCCGCCATATGTACTACTACCGTAACGAGCGCGCTCTCAACCGCAGCGGCTGGTTTCACTTCTCTATCATCGCGAAAGACTCCGAGCTCGCCGATGCCGTTGCGCTTTGTCGAAACTGGGAAGAGTTCTTCGAGCTCACGATACTGTCAATGTATCGGTTGTTCCCGGCTCCAAAGTGGACGAAGTTTGTGGGCGATGTGAATCGTCAATGCCTCCTGCTTCTCGGTTTCATACCTTATTTCCAAGTCGACGGCGCCGAAGCTAAAACGACGCAACATAGGATTAGTGGTCGTGCTAGTTCGGGACGGTCGTTCGATTTTAAGGAATCACGCAACATCCTCTGCGGTATCGTCAAGCGTGACGATACCCTCAATCGTCGATTCCTTGAGTGCCTAGCAATGGAGTCGGCCGACCTTCGTGTTTTGGTTCATGATCCGGTGACTGGCAAATTCGTAATCCAACCACCAAAGGAGGAGTTTTGGCTGAGCCGCGAGAAGGCCGGACGTGGCAGGTCTACAAAACATGAATACACCGTCACAGTTGAGGTCGATAACGCCTTTTTCGAACAGGCCACCGCCTGCAGGGCTTGGTCGTTGAACTTCAACGATTATTATAATGTTTATATCTGGGATGCACCGCCCGGTCGGAGTGCAGATGAGCTACAGGGCAAAATACAAGAGGTCCGTAAAGTGTCAAGATATCTACTTTGAAGGAGCTAACAATGACAGGCATTTTTACGTACCCACAAATGTAGGAAGGGAAAAGACATGCTTGTCAGAGTTCGGCACATAGTGCAACATATCACAAATGATCGTGAGAATAGACGTGTTCGCAGCATTCGGCCTGGAGAGAATGTTCCTAGCATGCTCGATGACTTCGAGCTTGGCGCAGAAGCTTTTCCCATCCCGATTGATGAGATATACAAGGAGCGATTCTTCACAGAGATCGACGAAATAGAGGATGCCCTTTTATATCCAAGGCGCGCACCTGGCGACAAGTCGCAGCCACCCTTCCCCCGAGAGATTGTTGGGAAGATACACCGGAGGACAAAGTGGAAGTGGTGGAAAATTGCCAGCGATGCCAGCACTGATGAAGAGTCATCTGCTTCTGATGAAGAGTCATTTGCTTCAGACGATGCATCCGAAGCTAAATCCGACGAGGGATCGCAGAAAATGAACGATCCAAGAGCAGTGTTATTGCGGCGCATGTTGGCGAACGACCCTCATGTTAGTGTTCTGGCCGGAAAAGCGATTGACAAGCTCCCTTCGAAGAGAGAACTCGACGCATTCGGTAATCATGGAACGCTGATCCCACAGTTTCAATGGGCGGACAGGTCACTGGGTTACGATCATTTCTTACCTATGTTTGACCGTAAACGTGCTTCTGTGATACCAAGCGAACTCAGGGATTCTCCTTCGAAGCTTATGGACACGCTAAGAACGGCTCTACGCCGTCAGCGAGAATACGATATCCAAGGGAAACATCTCATTCGAGAGCTGTGCGGGAGCCATGGGCAACGGTCAATACACAGGGGTGAGTTTATCATCGCTTAGAGTGACACCAACTAACAGTTGCATTCTAGTTGAGAAAGAGGCATTGCACATGGGCGACCTGGAGCCCGGTGGCGTCGGCCGGTATATGGAGCACAAGTCCATGGTAACGGCCATGGACAAGTTTGTCATGAGCGACATCAACACAGGCCCGTTCGAGCTCTGCAAGTTCATGCACATGGCACCTCTCATCCAAAGTGAACGTCGAATCGTTGACGAGGCTTTCCAGGCTTACGCCGCCATCGCCTTATTCTACCAGACGGAAGAGTTTCTTGCTTCCGAGCACGGCCTACCATTCCGGTCTTCCCTGCTGTTTGACCAAGAAGAAAGAGCTAAGCGAACCCCTGATCGAAGAAGCCATGTCAGCAATCCATATATGCCAGCAGAGTTGTGGACAGATCGAGATGAGCTCCTGAGACGCAATCAGCGAAGCAAGCTTGATCCTGTCTACGATATTTACCCGATAGAATGGCGTAAAAGGATACGTACCGTGGTTATGACCTTGTACAAAGCCGGCATCATACAAAGTGCTTACACACCCCAAGTTAAAGGTGTTGCAACTGCCGCCGCCGAACCCAACCGCGCGCTAGATTTCTACCTTGATTTCCGAGCCCAATCCAGACCTAAATTCAAGGCTGTCTTGGCGGATCCTACACCCTTGAATCGCGACTACATAGTCAAGGCGGCAAACAAGTTCGCGGCTCAGCATGGCTCTGCCAGGTTTTCGGCGCTGCGACTGTGGTCTGCTCCGCACTTTTACCCAATGCAAGCTAGTGGGAATGAGACATTCGCAGACGATCGCGGCAGGTACTGGGCTTGGAGATACATGCCTAAGGACTCGCCACTCAGTGAGTGGAACACGCACAAGATCGTGAGTGACATGATGGAGCAATACAGACGGATATGGGGAAACCAGGTGAGAGTTGCCAGGGATCTGATCCTGGTCATGGGCAAGGACGCAGACGAGTGTCGGAGGCTCAGTGAAGGGGTGACGTGGGCTACGCAGACGCGCAGGGTGTATGAGATGGACTTTTGGCGAAGCTTTGTAAACGTAGACGCCGGCTTCCTGGAAAGGTTGCATCCTGTATGGCTTTCGTAGCAAGGCGAGCAGACAGCAATGGCAGCTCCTGACGGTTCCTGATGCACTATCTTGTCGGTCAGCAGGGTGGCTTGGCACATGCCGGAGCGGATGTACATGTACGTGTGTTGTGCATGGGAGAGCCCCCACGGAGCGCTGCCTGAAAGGGCAAGGCGTGTGTGGGAAGCTGGGCGGGTCGAAAGCGTGCGAGGGCGGCACCCTGAGCGCTGCCCCTCATGACCGGCGGCGGAGGCAGAGATTTGCAAGCACCATCTGGACGCCGCCCGAGCACGCGATCAAGCTTTGCGACGCTGGGCGCCGGCCAACCGCCCGTCAGCCCCCGAATGCGGCGCTCCCGACACCAGGTACGCGACGACTGACCTCTCCGCCCTCTACCAGCACGCGAAGGCGACCGACGCCAGCCCGGCACATGCCCAACGCGGAACTGCAGTCGATGCTTCTCACCGCCGACGCGGGCCTGGCCGAGGTCCCCGGCTGCACCAGAGAGCAATTGGACGCCCTGGCCCGCAGCGTCGAGCTGAGGAGGCAGCAGCTCGAGGCCGACATCCGGGACTACATCGCGGCCAAGCAGGCCGAGCTGCGCAGACATGGCCACGAGGTAGGCGTCCCGGCCCCTTCTCTGCGTGCCGTGAGAGACTGATTTGGGCCTAGCTTGCAGACCGGTACCGCGACATGGCAGGCGGCCAGCAGCCTGCGCCTGCAGTGCCAGAGCAGAGCTGCCCAGGGCCTGCCCCGGGCCCTGCTGCACCGCTCGACCCGGCGCCCGACGACAGGATGCGGCTCAAGAAGCACACGCGCGTGCACAAGCGGGAGCGCGAGCTCTATGGACTCGTCACGCCCGTCTTCCTTCCCTTGCTCGATGCGCGCGACAGCTCGCCCGAAAAGAAGAAGACGCCAGCCGCAGGACATGCTGAGCACGCCCGAGACGACCCGAAGCCTACGAGCGACGCCCGAGACACCGCGGCCATGGCGCTGCGAGAGCCAGCCCAGCTGAGGCTGCCAGCCAAGAAGTCTGCGCTGCGGCACAAGGACACGCCTCGATCGCGCCGGAAGAGAGTCAGTCTGGTCATCCATGGCCAGACCGTCCTTCCCGCAGACACCGTCGCCGAACCACCTCTGGCTTCGCCCAGCAGCGTCGCAACATCGGCTTCCACCTCGACCGCTTCGCTCGACGACATGATAGATCCGCGACTCACCACCCCGGACCCGCCAGTCCATGTCCAACGCCCTGACGCCGTGCACCACAGCCTACCTCTCCCCATGACCAACGCCATCAACTCGGCTTCCAAGCTCCTCTCCGAAGCCCCGACACCCATATCCGTCGCCGCCGCCCACATCCCCCCAGTTGCCTCCCCACGGTCCCCCAGCATACCTTTGGGCCCTACACAGACCGCGACACCCACATTCCTCGACCCTTCGCCCGCTCTGCACCAACACATCACGCAAACGATCCCGGACACCGCAGGTCCAGACCCCATCTACTCGACCGCACCAGCTACGAGTGCTGAACTCGAAATTGACGACCTCGCAGACGACGACACGAATTTCGATACTTACGTCGGCGGCTTACACGGGAGTGGTGTTGACGATGTGGATCAAGCGGGCAGTTACGGATATCCGAGTAGTCTGGGAGCCAGCTACATGGAGAGCTATATGCAGAACCGACCATTGAGCGTGAGGATGCAGGCTGCGAACAAGGCGGGCTTGGCTGACGAGGAGAAGAGGAAGCTGCTCGAGCAAAGAGACGACAACGAGGCCGAGGCTGAAGCTGAAGAAGAAGAAGAAGAAGATCACAGCAACAGCACGAGTGCGGGGCATAAGGCTGTTGACGCAACCGAGGACAATTTCATGGGAGATATGGACGACTTCTGAGATTGGATGCCACATCCTTGTATATACGCGCGACCTTTCGATCCTTACGCAATCTTGTTTGTTAGACACTAGGCATTTCATGTACACGACAATATCTACGGACCCTTTATACAGCCCTGTTTGGTTTACTCTGGCTCCAAGAGATGCTCACACTTTAGTCCCGCTGGCTAACCTGCTGAACTCGATTTACGACTCTATCGAGCAGGCTGACCATTTCATCGCTCACGAATCTGGGGTCGTCTTGTTGGATAAAGTGGCCACAGCGGACAGCTGTGATGGGACCTATGGCTTTGCCTTCGTCCGTGATGCGACAGAGACCTTCGTTGTAGCGACGCCAAGCGGGGTTGGCATAAGTCATGGTCAGAATCTTGGGTGTCTGCATTGTACCCTCGTCTATTTGCCGGGTTAGTCTCTGTAGTCCAAGCGTCGACTTGGAAAGAGACAGGTACGTACACGACTGCTCGGCAAACGTTTCCCAGTCATGACCTACGACTGTGAGGTACGGGCCTCTGCCCAAGTAGCCCTCGAGTTTTGGTGCATCTGCGTAGGGTAATAGTTGTGGCAGATTACGTCTGGATAACCCCTCTTGACTAGGAACGTCGGGATGGAACATTCTTCTATACTTTTCTCTGGTAGCTCGTACTTCGTCTTGTGTGACACCTTCGGGTAGTGTGTGCGAGTTGAAGTCTGGTGCATCGGGGTCCGGCCACAGGTCTTGGTAGTCCGAGTTGGCCATGATGCTGTCCAGGAACAACAGACCAGATACGGTTCCTGGATAGCATTGCGCAAAGAGTCTTGCAAGTGCGCAGCCGATGCTGTTGCATACAAAGATGAGACAGGGGTAGTGCGTAGGTTTGTTGACGTCAAGGTGTTCCCTCCAGATTTGTAGGGTAAATTGCTTCAGTGCTTTGACTGCAGATATCGCGTCGTGTCCGTGGGACGGGGGTGGTTGCTGGTCGTCGGGATCAGCATCTGAATCTCCTTGACCATATCTATCGTAGCTCAACAGAGCAGGATACGGTAGACGCCCCACTATTCTCTTTTCCAGAAAGCTGCGCATGGCAGGATCCCATGAGCTTCTTGGCATCATGAGCCCGTTGAGGAAAACGATGAGCGTTTGCGAGAAAGGGTTCGGATGGCCGCCGTGAGGTTTGGATGCAGGGTAGTACGTGTAGTGCAAACGTGCACCGGGCTTATTGTCCAGTGCCAGTGAGGAAACCTCGGCATCCGGAAATGGTGGAAGGTCATCTTCGGATGAGTTCATGCTACCGGGGAATGGAATCGCGTAGCTGCGATTGTTCATGGAGTCGTGTTCCCGAGCTGTGTTGATGGGGTCTGCTTGTGCCGAATTGGTACCTGGTGAATTAGCCTGGTCCATGGTAGCAGGCTTTTCCCTTGTTGCCGGCCCTCCTCTTTCTTTCCTGGTCAAGCCTGAGTACTTGAGTTGCGGAGAGATGTACGGGAATGCATCCATGGCCTGGCGCAGTGGGGGCGTAGCGATTACCAGCCATGCAAATTGAGTAGGGGCGATGTGCAACTGAAGCGGAAGACGCCGGAATGGGGTCTATCGGGCAGACAGAGACGGCTGCAAGATTCAGGAACGAGTAGGCAGCTGTTGTGTTCACGGAGGCTAATTCGAGAGTGCATTCAGCAACACATTACCCCTCTTCGCGTCCAAGGCGGGAGAGAAGAGCAGGATCTAGGTCTCGATCGGAGCCAGGGCCTATGCTGCCAATGAGCTCTCACGTGTAGGCGTGTTCCATGTCGCCAAGGGTAGCGATGTTCAAAAGGGTTACGAGGTCGACCAAAGTGGTGCGCGCGCGGTATCGGTCGAGACGATGATGTCGCGAGATGGCGCGAGATGGCGCGGGTCACGGGCACCCGCTCATGGCAGCCGAGCGCGAAGGCGGGTGGCTTGGAGATTCTGGCAGACTAAGAAACAAAGCGTGAAACCAGAAGCGAGCGCTGCAGGAGAAGGAACCTTGGAAAACACACGGCGCTGCAATGGGTGGGGGCGACGTATGCAGCCAGGAACCGGCGGCTATGACGTGGGCGGGTTCCCCTTCACCGTAGCCGCGTGCCGCGTCGCTGCATGTGCGCTGGCTGCGTCCCCTTGATATGAGCAACATCTCACCCACGCCGTTGCTGCCAGCCGCTTCCCACCGCCCAGTCTTACGCCCTCCACTCCGACGCATCCCGCTTTGGCTCGTCTCTTCACCACCCGACGCTGCCCACGAGCCCGCAGTGTGCAGTAGGTTCGCCTTGGAGAGTTGATGCACCCTGACCATGTGAGAGATGGACTATACCAAGTGCATGCACGACCTAGACTGACTCGGTATCTTCACCTTTGCAGGCCATACGCCGACGCTCACACCCAGACCGTCTGGGCTGGCCTTTGCAGGATGCATGTCCGCCCTGACATCCTCTTCACGGCACCCGACACTACCACTCCGCCCGCCGAGATGGTAACGGACAAGTTGCAGGGCCTCGACAACATGGTGACCGGCGCCCAGCTGGGCACCCTCGACTCCAATGGCGCCTCGTTGCAGAGCCTGCTCCAGAGGCGACACAGACGGCCGGGCATGCCCACGCGCATCTCTCTGCCCCCGGCTGATGTCGACGACCAAGTCCTCCCCTCTCCGCCTCCGACGCACGCTCTCCTCTCCCCGTTGCCCGAAGCCAACAAGCGCTTTGCCGGCCACACTCCGCTGATTCCACGCGCCCTTTCGCCAGTGCAAGACGAGCAGCCCGCTGTGCAAGAGCCGCCTGCCCAGGAAGAGCAAGCGGGCACACCGCCAGAAGACCAGCCCTTGATAGGCCCACTGATGCTGCCTACCAATCCCGTCGATGGTGCAAGCGACCACATAGCACTCGAAGTGCTGGACGATGTACTCGAAAAGGTTGCCAAGGACCAGGACAGGTTCAGCAAACTCAAGGGTGCCCCCGACCCTGCAGCTCCCCCCGCACCCGCCGAGAACGCCCAAGAGGACTTGCCATTGAGTCACAAGGCATCGGCCGCATCGCGCAATCCGTGTGCCACCAAACTTGTCGACGGCGTCAGGCTCAAAAGCCCCCCTTTGAACTTTGGAGCGCCCATTGGTCAAGTATAGTCTGCTTCCCAGTCGTAATCGCGAACCGTCTCGTCATCTCGCCAGAACAGCACGGCTCAGACCCCGGGAGACCTGCCCCCAGAATTCGCGTTTTCCTAGTGCATTTGCATGGCGTTTGACAGCGGATTGGATCGGAGCATGGGTGGCGTTTGGGTAAACGGAACACATCACAGCACTTGGGAGCGATACCCAGTGACATATACTTATACAAGGCACCAAGACATTCATCGCAGGCTATAGACTACCAGCCCAGCATCAAGAATAGAGGAACAGCTCCACAGTTTCTCTGGATAGCTAATCCTTTCCATGCTTGTCCTTATCACCCAAAACTCCTCTCGCCATCTCCAACTGCTCATCTGTTTGCACGACTAATGTCTTGTACTTTGCATCGCGAACACTGATATCTGTAACCACATGCTCGACCTGCTCCGCATTCTTCTCCTCATCGAGAGCGAAACCTAGGCACCTGACTCCATTCACTACGGCCTGCCTCAACTTCCCTCCCTTCTCACCAATACCCCCGGCAAAGACAAGCGCATCAACCTCACCATCCAATTTGGCAAAGTACGGTGCGACATAATTCAAAATGCGATCAACAAAGATGTCAAACGCAAGCTTGTCCTCTTTTCTCTCTGAAGAACTAATCTTCCCGAAATCCGTAGTACCAGTCAAACTCTTCCATCCGCTCTTTTTGTTCAGAATCTCTTCGGCTTGCGTAATGTGCAGTTTTTCGCTAGAACTGTGCGACGGTTTGCCAGCGCTATGCGTGTAGTGGAACATGAGAGAAGGGTCAATGGAGCCCGAGCGCGTAGCACCTGGTAAGCCAGCTAGGGGCGTCAGACCCATTGTCGTGTCGAGCGACTTTCCACCTTTGATGCAGCATGCCGAAGCGCCGGATCCGAGATGCAGGGCGATGATGTTGGTTTGTTCGAGCGGCTTGCTCAAGTGTGTTGCTACCGCCTTCGCGATGAAGGAGTAGCTTATGCCATGAAACCCGTACTTGCGCAGCTTGTTCTTGTGGGCAACGGTTTGGTCGATTGGGTAGGTGCATATGTAGTCTGGGAGCGTATTGTGGAAGGATGAGTCAAAGTAGGCAATGTTTTTCGCGTGAGGGAGGATGTCTGCCACGGCTCGGACGATGGTGAGAGCGGGTGCATTATGAAGAGGTGCTAGATCCGAGAGTTGTTCAATGTGGTGGTATGTTTCTTTGTCAATGACCTGGCTTCTGGGGTAGTCTCCGCCATGCACTACGCGATGGCATGTGAAATGTATGTCTTCTTTTCGGTTGAGCTCGGGAAGACCTTGGTCGTTGGTCAGGTGGTCCAATATGTAGCGGAATCCGTCTTCTTGTGAAGTGACATGCTCCAGTTCTTGACCATTAATCTTCTCATCTCCGCGCTCGTACTTTAGCTTCGAGGGCGGCGCGGTAAGTCCTTCGACGGTAGCTTCAGCGAGTTGTTTCGGTACCGAGGAGCCATCTTCTGGAGTCTTGTAGACGGATATCTTGACGCTGGAGGATCCTGCGTTGATCGAGAGGATTATCTCAGGCATTGTTGTGGTTGTGGACCGTGCAGATAATGGTCTCCAATATGGCAATGGTATTGTTGCTCTGACAATGCTAAAAGCGATCAGGAAGTTCGGTATTCTACCGGAGCTCGAGCGCAGCAGCTAGGTAGTTCCAAGGTGGAGTAACAATGACGTCGTTGGCAAAAAGGAAAAGGACAGTCCAAGTAATAGCTTTCTTGAGCAAACCAGAGATCAGACACACTTTGGAGCACGTAAGGCATTACGCTATATACATGTATATCAAAACTCGATGTCGCGATTTGAATGACTTGGTGGAGCGTGATGTGGCTGAGGAGGCGATGCTAGCAGCGACAGCCCCGCCATTGCCTCTCGCGCGACCAGCCCTCGGCCAGCTACACCGCCGCCTACACGCGCACCACACACCTTGCACCATGCAGTCGCTGCCAGACGCGCGATCGCAAAGCTTCGAGGAGCTCTATGGGCCCCCCGAGAACTTCCTGGAGATCGAGGTAGGCTTGCCAGAAGCTGCGATGCCCCGATGCTGTCCCGCCGCCCTGCTCACAATTGTCGCGTGCACAGGTCCGAAACCCCATGACACACGGTGAGTAGACGGCACATGTCGAGCGCGCGAGCGGGGGCTGATGCGCTGCCTAGGTGTCGGCCGTGGCATGTACACGACGTACGAAATCGTTATGCGCACCAACATCCCCGCCTTCAAGCTCAAGTCGTCGACGGTACGCCGTCGCTACAGCGAGTTTGAGGCTTTCCGCGACATCCTCGAGCGCGAGTCGGCGCGCGTTACAATACCACCGCTGCCGGGCAAGGTGCTCACCAACCGCTTCTCGGACGATGTCATTGAGCACCGACGCGAAGGGCTCCAGCGCTTCCTCCAGATTGTCGTGGGCCATCCGTTGCTGCAGACGGGCAGCAAGGTGCTGGCTGCCTTTGTGCAGGGTCAGTAGCCATCCAGCGCTGCGACGGCAGTGACGACGACGACGACGACTAACATGCAGCAGATCCCAACTGGGACAGACACGCGTGGTAGACACGCCTGACCCGACTACTGCAGAGGGCGGCTACCAACACTTGATATCAGATTGCCGCATTTCCTGCGGTACGGAGCAACGGGCGTTCTTGTTGGGCTTTCACGTGGGGCTTTGTGTACCTTGTCACGAGTAGCAGCAGCGAGCCAATGTCTATAGTTCCATCATCATCCCATGCAATCCACGCAAACGTCCATGGCTGGGGACGAGCGCCGGCTACAGCGATTGCTATCAACTTGACATCAGCGGCGACCCTCCTCCGCGCAGCGCTAGCGATGCAACGAGCAAGGCGCGGGGGTTAGTAACAAGCAAAAGTTTTTGGCAGCCGAACCGTCTTAACCCTGCATGTTCCCGACCTCGTGGCTCCGTGCATCTTCTACCCATCTTTCTAGACTTCATCCTATCGCAGACAGTACTTGTAGTCATGGGCATCCCGTCACAACCAGCGTCCAACGCCATCATCTACCTTACCCTGGGCGCTTTCCTGTAAGCTCACACCAGCGACTCCGCGGGCGATCAGTGGGAACGAGGGCACTAACTGTGTGGGAATAGAGTGCTAGGATGTTACGTCGCATGGCGATTGCGACACCAGTCCAAGACCGAATGGCTGTCTAGTAACCGCACACAAAAGGGTTAGAAAACCGTCGCATCGCACGCTTGCAGCCAGACTTTGGCGTTCCTGCCCTACAAACAAGAGCAACTGGCTGACTTTGCGCCTAGGAGTCCCGCTCGCTTTCAACTTCATCGCTAGTGGTGAGTGCATTCGTGCACCCAGCGTGCTTCTTGCCACGTGAACAAGCAGCGGCAGTATCGGCTTTTCCATCGTTGCCACGACGTCCAGCATTCGACGTTGATGGCGAGATGCTTCAATTCAAAGCAATTCGCGTCTCCATGCTTGGCCAAAGCTGGATTAAAATCCTCTAGGTTCGTATTGAGATCTCTCACAGGAGCCACTTCCCCTTGCTACTGCAGCCTTGTAGAACTCGTTGCAGTTCCCCATCGCATGTGGGTACATGGGAGGTGGTCTTTTGTGCGGCTACACTGCGGGCGCCGAACCAGAGCTGGGCTCGAAACACGCCTGGCCGTCTGTCTTGTGCGTAGTTTTGAGCCTGGTGAAGGGGAAGCTGAGAAGTACCGTAAGAACTCGATCAAGATAATACTTGCGTGAGGAACGTGCTGCCGCTACTTTCCCCCTTTGCACCCCCCTCCCAATTCTCCTTCGTGCAAACGGCTGACCTAGGTTTCTTCTTTAATCCACAGCTCTCGGATCCGGTATCTTGTTCACGTACCCTCAGATCGCTACCATTGCTGGTGTACAGGGTCTCTTGGTTTACGCGCTATCATCGTCCCTGCCCTTATTGGTCTTTGGCGCGTTGGGTCCCATCATTAGACGGAAGTGTCCTGAAGGCTTCGTGCTGACAGAATGGACAAGGCAGCGCTACGGAGCTATCGGAGGACTCTTTCTGAGCGTCTGCACGCTCATCACCATGTTTTTGTACATGGTCGCTGAGCTCTCGGCCTTGCAGCAAATCGTCACTCTACTCACGGGCTTGAACGGTCTTCCGGTTGTCATTGTGGAGTGCGCTGTTACTACCATCTACACCTGTAAGATTTGTTGCAACTCTAACTACGAGCATCAACTAAAACTTTACTTCAGCACTCGGGGGCTTCAAAGTCTCTTTCGTAACCGACAATATCCAGGGCGTCATGGTCATCGGCCTTATCATCATGGGCGTCATTGCTGTCGGCGTAGAAACAGACATCGACCGCTCCCTCATCGACCAATCCCGATACCTCGAATCCAGCCTCCTAGGCTGGCAACTTATCTACATCCTCCCTGTCGCCATTTTGTCAAACGACTTCTTCCTCTCAGGCTTCTGGATGCGTACTTTCGCCGCTCGCACGGACAGGGATCTCTGGATTGGTGTCTCACTCGCCAGTATGGGCGTACTGATTATCCTCACTCTGCTAGGTGTGGGAGGAATGCTTGCAGCATGGTCTGGTGCGTATACCATTGGCGACGAAGAAAACGGCTCTTTGGCCTTCTTCTTGTTGCTAGAACGGCTGCCTGCGTGGGTTGTCGGTGTTGTTCTCGTCATGACCATCTCGCTTTCCACTGCTGCATTTGACTCTTTCCAATCAGCCATGATCAGCACGGGAAGCAACGATTTCTTCCGCAACAAACTCAACATCTGGATCATCCGCGCGTGCGTTGTGGCGCTCATCTTCCCTGTTGTCGTCGTGGCTCTGCGCAGTCCCGATATCCTGCAAATTTTCCTAATCAGTGATCTTGTCAGTGCAGCGGTTGTACCTTGCCTCGTCATCGGGCTGAGCGACAAGTTTTACTTCTACCGGGGTTTCGACTTTGTTATTGGAGGCCTTGGGGGTATCTTCACCATCTTCTTGTTTGGGCTTGTCTACTACAATGGCGATGTCACTCTAGCCGGGAACTTGCTGTTGTTGGAAGGTGGATTGTACGCAAATGACTGGAGCGCTTTCGGTGAGTGCAAGCTATTCCGGCGCCCATGACGATTGCTAACAACGACGAGGTGCTTTCGTAGCAGCGCCCTTCGGAGGTCTTCTTTGGGCTTTTGCTGCTTGCGCTCTCCGCATCGGGTTCCTCTGGATCAAGGCCAAGTTTCAGGGTCGTCGCTTCGACGCGTTTGACCGACCTCTTCCACGAAACATCGATAGACCTGGTGCTTTCGACGAGCACGATGGTGAGGCTGTGGTTGAGCATAGCAGCATCGAGAATGGCAGCAACGGGAAGTTCTTTTAAGACCGTGCAGATGTGGAGGGTAAAAGTGAGTAAGGGAGTGCATGTGCGAAGTCAGGATGACCAAACAGATGTAAATAATCGGGTTTTGCATTCTTGACATGTACCATACATAAGAGGGAATGAAAGAGGCAGCAAAGGGTGTTGGTCAAACCACGGAGAAGTTGGACATTCGAGCTCGTGGTAACAAGTACGGGGAAAGATTATGATCAAGTACGCGGTGGGAATCTATACGGATGAGTCGGATCGTATTTTACTCTCACATGTAGTGGAGAATGCCTCTAAATACAGCGTGCTTGCTACATACAAAAAGAAATGATGGCAGATATCTGTAACCGAGATGGAGGAGCTAAGACGCAGCTTCCAGAAGAGACACGGGTGGCGTCGCGTGGAGCTGAGGTGGGGGCGGGGCAGCTTGGCAGGGTCCATGACGGAGCTTCGCGCTGTTGGAAATATCTGACGTTCCAGGCACCAGACGTCTAGAAGAAACGTTTGTTACCACCCACCTGCACTTTGCACACTCTACCGAATCTTCCCAACAGGCATTTCCTCCACACCACCATCATGCAGATGCCAGACATGCCCGTCAACGTCCCAATCGACGACCCCAACGCCGACACGGAATGGTGAGTCAAACCACCATCAGGTGATGGCGAAAGACACAGTACTGAAACTAGCGCGTCAGGAACGATATTCTCAGGAAACATGGCGTCATCCCCGAGAAGCCGCCATCGCCGACACCCATGATTCAGGAGGCGCTTGAGCAGGCTCGCGAACTCGCACACGAGAACCGTTTAGAGGGCAAAGACATGGACGAGCTGGCCGAGCTAGAGGATGAAGAAGACGACGACTTTCTCGACTCGTACCGTCAAAAGCGCATGGCCGAGCTTGCATCGATAAATACCGCCTCGGTGTACAACCAAGTCTATCATATTCAGAAACCCGACTACTCTTCCGACGTTACCGAAGAGAGCAAAAAGGCACATGTGCTGGTCTTGTTGACAAGTTCAACAGGCACAAACACCGAGTCAAGAGTCATGATTGAGCATTGGAGGGAGTTGGCAAAGAGATTTGGCGATGTCAAGTTTTGCCAGATGAGGGCGGATCTTTGCATCGAGGGGTACCCGGATAAGAACACGCCGACGGTGCTGATCTACAAGGACGGGGATATCAAGAGGCAGATTGTTACGCTGATGCAATTGAAGGGACCGAGGACAAGTGTACAGGGTGGGTCGCGTCCCTCAACTCCTGACGGCAGTCCTGCATTACGGTGTGCTAACTTGCTATGACAGATCTGGAAAGGCTTCTCGTTGATGTTGGCGCCGTCAAACTAGGAGACTCGCGCCTCCAGAAGAAGAGAGACGACGAGGACGCCAACCCTAGCAGGATAAGACAAGGCAACACCGCAGGAGACGATGACGATAGCGACTGGGACTGAAGGCGTACTGATAGGGTAATGTGACGGCTTATTGCCTGGTAGGGTTGTTGACGTCCACGACGTCGACCTCAAAGCTGTCTCCCGGAGACTTGCTTTGTACGCGCCGTACGAGGAACGTCTGGCATTGAGACATGTGTTGGCTTTCCAGGCAGTAGTTGACGATGGCGGATGCTCGCTTCGCATGGACGTATCAGATACTATGGCGCCTCGATCGGTGTTGAGTAGATACATTCTGGTCGTGGACTGACCCCTTACTGGCAGACTTGTTCTACGCTGCTGGTTTGAGGTACGAGCGTTGAAGATGGGGAGTCATGTTCTCCGGACACGGGAGTGTTGGTGGTGAACAAGTCAAGATGAAGAAATTTGGATTTCTGAGAGTCGACTTGCTACGTGGCAGGCTGTGGCATGGGCAAACAAGCACATGGCGGAATAGAATTCTCGCCTTATCTAAAAAAAAAGTGTGTTCTCTCATCGCCATCTGTCCAACACTGGAGCGCCCGTCTTGTGGGAAAGCTCGTGCAGCCACCGGACGCCGAGCGCCCAAGGCCCAGAACGCAAAGCCAGCGTGGCAGCGCAGAAGAATAGTAAAAGACGCAAGGGGTATGGAGGCAGCAATCATATGAGCTCATCGCCGCCGCAACGGCGCGACTCGTCGACTGCTCGCCAGATGGTGCTCTCTTCAAAGACGGGGCCGTGGCCGTCACACTTGGCGGAGCCTTTCAGGCGCTCGCACACGTCGGCCACGTCAACCAGACCCTGCTTGACGAGCGGATGTTGCTGGATGAGGTCCCAGGCCTGGGCAGCGGGGACCTCTTTCGCCCCGGCGCGGGTGCGTGGATGCTCCTTCGCGGCCGTGTTCACGACGGTGGCGTTGGTCAGGGACTCGACACGGTAGGCCGTGGCTGTTTCTTCGTCGTCGTCGCCGTCGTGGCCATGGTCGTGGACGGGCAGATAGGCGCCCGGCGAGGGGTACGTGGCGGAGAGGGGGCGCGAGGCCGAGGGGGAGCGGCGGGTGGTGGCGCGCAGGATGTCGTTCTCGGTGCGGGCGCGGTCGAGGGCGGCCTTGAGGCGGTCGTTGTCGGACTGCAGCGAGTGGGTGCTGGACTCGAGGGCCGAGAGCTTCGTCTCGAGCTCCTTGACGTGGCGCTCCTTGCGCTCGCGGAAGGCGCGCTGGCTGGAGAGGCATGAGCACGGGGGCGCTGGATGGGGGACGGGGGCGGGACACGTACGCTGCCCTGTTCTGAGCCTTGCGCCTGCTCTGCGCCGGCGTCAGGCTGTCCTTCTCCTCGCTGCTGCTGCGCGCCTGCTGTGGCTGGCCGTCGTCGAGGTCCGCGCCGAGCCCCGAGTCTACGCTGTCGTCTGTCGCGCCAAAGTACGCGTGGGCCATGGCTGCTCGATGTTGCTGCGTGCAGCGTCTGCTAAGTACTGCCTCGACGCACCGCCTGCAGTCTCACACGCAGCCCCTCGGCACTGTCAGCACCAGCCTCCGTCGCTCGCCGCAGCACCCATCGTCCTCGACGCCTTCACCTCCGACAGCAGCCCGTACGCCCGCGTTTACACGTCGGGATTGGGCGCCGCCAAGGCTTTCCGAGCTGCCGGGGGGTCACGCCAAGCCAGCGAGAATTTGCATCTAATCTTATCAATCAGCTGTCCCGAGCCGCACTATGCTCCATCCAGCACCGAGAAGCTGTCCGTTTGCTTGTACAGTAGTAACGCGTTCCGCACTGGGAAATCACATGAAATATGCAGCCCGCATTCTTTTCACCTGCCGCCCGGCGCTGGTAAATAACCGTTGTTGCACATCATCTCCTTGCAACACTTGTGCCCACCAATCCACCAACCACCATGTCGCATCACCACAACTTGGACGTTGGCAAAACTGCGCTATTCAACACAACCGCGACCGGCGCCGATCTAGCCTCCCCCACCGCATTACCAGGCGCAAAGTCTCCGGGTGTCGCACGCATCGAAGCCCTCAACGCGCACACGTCCTTGATCAACCGCTGCTGCATCTTCTTCGGCATCTTCCTCATTGCGTATGCGTATGGTTTGGATGGGACGCTCCGATACACCTACCAACCATATGCCACTGCGGGATTCCAACAGCATTCCACCTTGGCTACCATTAGTATGTCTGGTGAAATCTGTAGTCATTCCGAGTCACCAACGCTAACATTGACCAAGATGTCTTGAGGAGCGTCATCGCCGCTGCTGCGCAGGTAAGTCTTAGAGTCTGCTACCACGTATAAACCCATGCTCACTGTGTGCTCAACAGCCTACTGCGGCTAAGATTGGTAAGTTGAGTCTTCACACCGATCAAGATATGAGAAACTAACTCGATGGTCACAGCCGATGTCTTTGGCCGCATAGAAGTCGTCATACTCTCCATGCTCTTTTACATCATCGGTATGCACACACCAAACTGGGAGCTTAGCGTTGTGCTCTGGCAGTCGTACTAACACGACCAAAGGTACCGTCATTGAATCCGTCAGTTCAAATGTCGAGTCCTTCGCCGCAGGCGCAGTCTTTTACCAAGTGCGTGCTGCAACAACGCCAAACGGACAAGACCAATACTAACGGGTATCCTACAGATTGGCTACACGACCATCATCGTGCTCATCGAAATCATCATAGCCGACATCACCTCCCTTCGATCTCGACTCTTCTTCTCATACATACCTGCCGTTCCATTTTTGGTAAGCAATATAACCGTACGCTCCGGTTTAGCTTGTTTCTGATGTTCGGTAGATCAATACTTGGGTCAGCGGCGATGTAAGTCAAGCTGTGCTTAGTCAGACCACTTGGCGATGGGGGGTAGGCATGTGGTGCATCATATACACAGTGTGTTGCATCCCTCTAGTCGCTTCGCTCATGTGGTCCAGCCGACAAGCTAAAAGGGCCGGCGCATTCGATGCATACCAAACACCATACGAAGTTCATGGCGGTACCAGGAATTTGCTAGTCACTCTCTTTTGGCAAATGGACGTCCCCGGCGTCGTGCTGCTTATTGCGGTATTCGGCTGCATTCTGACTGTAAGTCGGCATGTGTTTGCACCAGACGAGATTCCGATTTGCTGACCAACCACGAGCCTCTCACCATCGCAGGTGGCGCGCAATCGCAATGGGGGACTGCCAAAGTCATTGCTCCTCTTATCATCGGCTTCATGTGCCTCCCCGCCTTTGTCCTCTGGGAACGCAGAGCACCTCATCCAATGCTCCCGTTCCATCTACTGAAGGATCGTGCGGTTTGGGGTGCTTTAGGTATTGCTTGCACTTTGAACTTTGCATGGACCATGCAAGGCGACTTCCTGTACACTGTACTAGTCGTCGCATTTGATGAATCAGTAAAGAGCGCAACTCGCATCAGCTCTTTGTACAGTTTCTCCTCGGTAATCACCGGATTGATCCTTGGTGGTGTTGTATTCAAGGTCCGCCGCTTGAAACCTTTCATCGTCGCCGGAACTTGTCTTTTCGTGGTAGCTTTTGGTCTTCTAATTTACTACCGTGGCGGCTCTGGCGATTCGTTGCATTCCGGCATCATCGGAGCGCAGATATGCTTGGGCATTGCAGGAGGCATGTTTCCATATCCTGCACAAGCCAGTATCCAAGCTGCTACAAAACACGAGCGTAAGTTTCTTCCATGGCAACTCACGCTAGTTGAAGCGACAATACTAACTACCCAAAACAGACGTCGCAATCGTAACGGGCATTTATCTCGCTACCTACAACATTGGCAGCGCGCTTGGTAATACAGTCTCAGGTGCTATGTGGCAGCAGATCATCCCAAATGAGTTGGCCCGTCGCATTGGCGATCCCTCGCTCGCAGCCGTCGCGTATGGTGATCCGTTTGCATTTGCAACTCTATACCCAGTGCAAACCCCAGAGCGTATCGCTGTGATACAGGCATACAGACACGTGCAAAAATTACTCTGCATCACGGGTATATGTCTTGCAGTACTTCTTGTCGCTTTCTCGCTGGTCATCCGGAACCCGGAGTTGGGCAAGGACCAGAGCCTGAAGCATGCTGAGGAGGATGCAGAAGTCAATTGCTCGGATAGTAGGTCCTAGTGTTGAAGTTTAGCACATGTTACACGCTAGAGTCAGTACCGACTGATCTTGTTGCATATACGAGGGTCCAGGTGGTGGTGGAGCAGACTGACATCATCGTCGTCTACGGATACTACCGAGCTGTTGAGCTTCTACTATAAAACAACAAAGAGACAGATGATTTGGAATTACCTCTAGCCCATCGGTGAATCTACATCGTTTACTCGTATGCCACAATGTTACTGCGAATATACAGGTCCGAGGTCACTCGCGAAGAGACTTCAGCCTTGAGCGCGAAGCCCAGAAGACAGAAAGCTACTTGTGAGATGAAAGGCGACCAAGAGCCTGATGCAGCCCAACCAAACACGATCTCGAGTCCCCGACACATAGCAGCCCGCCTCTCGATCACATCCACGACAAACCGCCGCCCCCTGTTAACGACATGTGTATGGTGCCCGGCGAACACGAGACATCAAAAATCACAGCAGAAACGAGTTTGCGAGGCGCACCACGATCGATGTCGCTTTGGCTGTGGTCGGAGCGACGATGAACGCCCATGCCTTTGTGCGCACACTTGGGACGATCCGAGCGACCAAGATCCCTCACGTGCATTCCGACGCCGGGTTGACCTCAAGGAATCCAAGATAGCTTGGTAGCACAAGCTTCATTGCGACTCAGTTCTAACCCGCCGAAGATCGTGGGGCTCCTGCGGGCTGTTGGGCCGTGCGTATCACGCAGGCTGCAAGAGTGCTGTCCCGGCCAATGAATCCTCCCTACGGCGTCTACCATGTTGCAACGCCTGTATTGTCAACAGCCTGGTCGAGAAAAATGCGCAAAGCAGCCAGAAACTTTGATCGCGGGGTCTTGCAAATATCTGCTTGGGCATGGACGCGTACCTAGACAACGACTTCTTCGGGACCTCGGGAGCCTCCGACTTCGGCAGTGCGCTTCGCAGAGTGCGGCTGCATCTTTGGTTTGTGCGAAAAGCTCAGGAGCATTTGGATGAACAGCACGTCCTCACAATATGCATTCGCTTCTTCTACGGCAAGGATTTGTCATCGCTGCCTCAGTTGTTGGATCATGCCACTCCGCTACCAGGTTGTTCGGGCGTTCGGTCTAAAAAGAAAAACCGAAGTCTCCCGTATCCCGGACATCAGTTTCGCCGCCGTGTGTATGAGGGCCTGCCAGATACCGCCACGAACCTGGTTACGGAAGGTCGATAAGCATTGGTGTCGTATCCACGGTTGTGCTAATTGCGACGGCAGCACATCGCGCCATCACGGCGCCACGAAAAGCATGCATGACATCGCTCAGGGCCGAAAACGACATGCGCATGTCGGATCTTCAACCGAATGTATGCTACCAGCAAGTGACAACTCTGCTGCTAGGTTGAATCCTTACGGTTTACCTTCTGCCTTCAGAATCCGTTATCTGTTGACCCAATACCGAAGCACAAGCAGAGAACAGATCGTCCAAGAGTGTCAGTCACTTGGCTCGAACCAGCTGCTTTGAGCTGGCTCGAGACATTGCATAACGCATCTTATGTGCAAGCAGGTATGATCCGAACTATGCGTGAATTGTGTGGTAAGATATGCTAGACGAGACAGCCAAAGCTCCCAAGATACCTCGACATGCGCGTCACCTGAAGCTTTGCTCTCATACCCATCTTCCACCCCTAGTCTCTGGCTATGGCTTCCGGTCTGCCTCTCGAGCCGTAACTATGAGTGGCGGCTTCAGCCAGAAAGAGTATGTTTGTTGATCCATCCAGTCATCACAGCTTTCGTTGAGCTCGAAGTCGAAGTCCCACAACAAGTGGCCCAAGGCAAGCCTCAACTCATAGTGTGCCAGACTGTAGGCGGAATTAGGCCTCTGCATAAAGGTGACCAGGGTAGTGGACTTACTTTCTTCCAAGGCAGGCGCGTGGACCGACTGAGAAAGGGTTGAACGCGTTCTTGTCGTCCTTCTCAAACTCCACGGAGCCTTCAGGCAACCATCTCTCTGGAGCGAAATCGTCTGGTCGGACGAAGTTTCTCGAGGAGTGAAACATCGGATAGTGGAGTATAAACACCGTGGCGCCCTTCGGAACATACTTGCCACAAATCTGCATACCGGCTGCTGGTACCAACCTCGCCAACGTCTCCGGAGCGCCAGGGTAGACTCGCATGGCTTCGTCTAGAACTGCGCTCATGTACGCTAACCTCGGCAGTGCCTCTATTGTCATCGCGTCTTTCGACTTGAAACTGTCATAGATCTCTTGCTTCAATCTCATCATGCAGTGGGGATTCTTCAAAAGTAAATATAGCGTTCCCGAAAGCACTGTTGCCGTAGTTTCTGACCCTACCACCATGAAGAGAGCGGCATTGCCGACCATTTGATCCAGAGAGAGGCTCGCTTTCTTTCCGCCGGGTCCACCGGTGATCAGACCCCAGAGATCTGGACGATCGGTCTTTCTTTCCAATCTTTCCTTCACACGATCTTCGGCGAACTTCATGTGCGCATCTCGCTTTGCCTTCATCGATTTCGGGACCAAGAGCGGCAGGATCTTTGACGCAAAAGGAACGTGGTAAAATACCACGATGCGGATAGTGACTACTTTGATCGTTGCAACTATCACACGAACCCAGCTGTTGTATTCTGATCGCTCCAATAGACCAAGAGAGGTGCCGAAAGCTAGATCACCCATAACGTCGAAGGCTAAGAAGTTGAACATGTCTACCATGTTCGTCTCGAGACCCTGATCAGCGCGCGACTGGACGGCTGCTGTCAATCTGTTGACGTGCTTGAGCAACAAGGGCTCCTGCTCCTTCAGTGCCCGGGTGGAAAACCCTTGATTGAAGAGTTGGCGTTGTTCTCGATGCTTCTCGTCATCCAGCACGTCGATGATGCCCGGCTCTCCCGACATAGGTGGAGGGTTAGCAAGAGGGTTTTTTGGCAGCGGCTTGCGAGATGTGTAGGTGCCTGTCCCATGGATGTCTTTCGAAGTCAGCGTCGAGAAATATGTATGCGGAAGAGGCCATGTTTACCCTTCCATGCATTGCTAGAGGTGTAGCTCAATTCCCAGGGACTCAATCGCACAATTGGCCCATATTGCTCATGTAGACGGTGCGCATCAAACACCGTAGTACCCCTCCATCTAGAAAGAATGCGGGGTATAGGAGATGCTCGCCATAAGAACGGACCGGGGTAGTGTCGAAGTGGATGGATGAGAATATTGTACGACAGCCATCCTGCGATGGAGGTAATCTGATCACGATTAGAATTTCTACACCCTCATCGTACGAGTGAAGTAGCTTACTGCTACCGAAAAAATGCGTAGAAAGAGTAGAACAACTGTCATGATGAGATACACAATGCTTGGATGACACAGAGTTGCTCCGAGGGAATCTGTGGTGTGTACAGAAAGACCATGGGCATTTTTTAGCCAGCTTCATTGCTTGTCCGATCAACCAAGGCATGCACTGACCGCTTCTCAAGTGCGATAAGGAATGTCATTTTCCTCGATTGGCATCACGCGACACCTTCTTGCCTTCGGTAGTTTTCTGGATACACACGGTCTTTACTCGGCGTCTCTTCGCAAGCACCGTATGCAACCCTATACTTGATCAAGACAAGTGGAGATGGCTGGTTCCACAGCGCGTTACAATCTAGAGTAGCTCCTAATCTCTATATCGTGGGGGATGTAAGTAGGTCCGTTTCAAAGAATGCTAGGAGTGATGAGTGAGCGAGTCTTGGGTACAATGAATCGCATAGTAGAGTACGTTGTATATAGTCATCACAGGAATCATAGCTCGCGGAACAGTCTATATACCAGCTGGTTCAACATAGCGAATCATTCGTGATTCCGTAGACAGTTTAGGTATTTTTCGATATGCGCACCCAGTCTGATCATTTCGCGCCTTCTGTGGCGTTCTTTTGCCCTCAAAGCAAGGCCCCCACAGAGGCGTACCTCGAGCAGCTCCAAAAGTACATTGTTGAAACGCCCCTACTCCTCCCATTTGCAGAAGCCATCACGTCGTTGACGGACACATGGACCATACTTTGTGACGGCCACCCGGACATAGCCAAACTCAAATCGGGCAAGCGACATGTCGTCAGTCTGAAGCGATGGATAACCGACGGAATATCTGGGCCTGTTTCAAGCTCCATGTCCGGTATTCTAGCGTTGCCGCTGTTGGTCGTTATCCAGATCTGCCAGTACTTCCAGTTGCTCGAGTTGCATGGTCTCACGCACGAGCGAATGCTGGCAAGCCTGAAGAAAGGTGGCGGCGCTCAGGGATATTGTGGAGGTCTTCCTACAGCCTTTGCTGTTTCTTGCGCCAAAGACGAGGAGGAGGTGGTTCATCTTGCAACCAAAGCTTTACGACTGGCATTTGCCGTTGGCGCATTTGGCGAATTGGGTGACGACGAGTTGGTGGAGGGAGCCACGACCATCGCAGTACGCCTGAGAACTCCTCCGCAAGGAGATGAGCTTGTGGCAGGTATTCCTAGAGTAAGTTGGGATTCTTTTCGTATTCGCTGCAGGGCCTCTCCCCTGTCGGTCTTTGGACTTGTGTCACAGGAACATGACTTCCACCGAAGCAAACAAGCAGCATTTAGCAATTCCATTCCTGTGTAACAGCTACTTACAACATGCAGTGCTACATTTCGGCGATCACAGACCCAAAAACGATAAGTATCGTAGGCCCTGTGCTAGAGCTCGAGAAGGTGGCAGAAAGAGCTCGTAACCGTGGTTTGCTAGTCACGGATATCCATATCCGTGGCAAAGTGCACAACCCGGAGAACGCGCCTTTGGTCAAAGTGCTGTTTGACATTTGTCGGGAGCATGACGACATGATGCTGCCTGATGCTAGTCAGCTGCGAGTTCCCGTGCGATCGAATTTGGATGGCAGCTTGCTGCATGATTGCTCGCTGACACACGAGGCAATCAACACCATCCTCGCCTCTCGATGCGAGTGGTATCGGCTTTTGAAGGATGTCGCACAGGACCTAGCGGGAAGTGGTACAGACGCCCATACGTTTGCTTTGTTCGGCATAGGAGACCCAGTCCCCCTGATGCCATTCCACAACGCTCGCTTGCGGATATCGAAGATGGAAGTCCATACCACTGTTCAGGGGGCCAGGTTGGCTGAATACAAGTAGTAGGTAGCCCCAACAGGCTGACGCGACTAGCGCCGCGCTAACACATCACGCCAGCCCGGAAGACGCCATTGCCATCACTGGTGTTTCATGCCGACTCCCACGAGCAGCCGACCTCGAAGAACTATGGCAGCTCCTCGCCGCTGGCACATCGACTTGCGAAGAGATCCGCCATGACAGGGTTCCGATGCGCGAAAGCTTTCGCGCGTTGCAAAACGACAAATGGAAGCCGAAGTGGTTCGGCAACTTCATTGATGGGGTCGATGAGTTCGACTGGGCTTTCTTCCGCTCGAATGCCAAGGAGGCTGCCAGCATGGACCCTCAGCAACGCATCCTCTTGGAACTGACCTATCAAGCTCTGGACAGCGCGGGCTACCTCCGCAAACATGTTCGCGAGAACGGAGACAAAGTCGGCTGCTTCGTCGGCGCAAGTTTCATCGAGTACACGGACAATACGAGTGCCCATCCACCAACTGCATATACAGCGACTGGTACCATTCGGGCATTCTTGTGTGGCAGGCTTAGCTATCACTATGGCTGGACTGGACCGGCGGAAGTCATCGACACGGCCTGCTCCTCTTCGCTTGTCGCCATCAATCGTGCCTGCCAGTCCATCTGGTCGGGTGAGTGTCCTATGGCTGTTGCTGGAGGAGTGAACATCATCTCCGGAGTTCACAACTATCTGGGTCTTGGCAAGGCCGGCTTCCTCAGCCCGACCGGTCAATGCAAGCCTTTCGATCAAGCGGCTGATGGCTATTGCCGTGGAGATGGTGCTGGAATGATCGTATTGAAGCCCTTGAAACAGGCGATGGCAGATGGTGATCCAGTTTTAGGCGTCATACCGGGGTCGTCCACCAACCAAGGCGGTTTGTCTGCATCTTTGACAGTCACTCAACCCTCGGCACAGGTTGAGCTATACCAGTCGATTCTCGAACGTGCTGGAATGAGTCCAAACCATGTGTCCTACGTCGAAGCCCACGGGACCGGCACACAAGCAGGCGATCCTCTTGAGGTGAGCAGCATCAGAGACGTGTTTGGTGGATCAGATCGTCCAACCAAACTCTATCTTGGTTCTATCAAAGCCAATACTGGCCACGCAGAGTCGGCGGCTGGGGTCGCTGGACTGCTCAAAGTCATCGCTATGTTATGGAAGAAAGCAATCCCGCCCCACGCATTGTTCAAATCTTTGAACCCCAAGATTCCCTCATTGGCCCCGGACAAGATTGTCATCGCAAAGAGCCTGGAACCATGGGAAGTACCCTTCAGAGCTGCGTGGGTGAACAACTACGGCGCGGCTGGAAGTAACGCATCGCTTGTTGTCTGCGAAGGGCCTCGGATGAGCTCTAGCAAAGCGTAAGTGTGAATCTCGCTCCTAGAAAGCTAAGCCTAACCTATCTGAATAGACCCACTCAGCTGCCTGCGGGTACCCACTATCCAATCATACTCTCAGCCCACACAGTTGAGAGTCTGAAGGCTTACGCAGCTGTCCTTAAATCGTACATCAGCCAAGGAGATCTGAGCCTCTCGAGCCTTGCTTACACCCTATCGGAGCGGCGAAAGCGCCATTCGGTGGCCTGGATGACAACAGCTTGCGACATTGCCGGCTTGCGCACCGAACTCTCCACGGACATCTCGTCATGCAGCATACCCCAACCTTCGAAGCGTATCGTGCTTGCATTCTCCGGCCAAAGCAAGCAGAATGTCGCTCTATCGAAAGCGGTTTACGAGTCAAATCCCAGGCTACGCTACTACCTCCAAGAGTGCGATCGAATCCTCGTCGCGCTTGGAACTCCATCGATCATCCCGGCTATCTTCCAGACCACCGTCATTACCGATCCAGTTCTGTTGCAGACAGCTACCATGGCGGTTCAATATGCTAGCGCTAGGTGTTGGATCGATGCTGGCGTGCAGCCCGCTTGCGTCATTGGACACAGCTTCGGAGAGTTGACAGCAATGGCCGTATCGGGTGTGCTCTCTCTTGAAGAGGCCCTCAAACTTGTTACTACCCGAGCCCAGCTCATGGTGACTAAATGGGGACCAGAGAGAGGTACTATGCTAGCAATATTTGCGCCGTACTCTGTTGTCGAACGTGTCATTGATGCAATCGGTGGTGAATCCCTAGAGATTGCTTGCTTCAATGCCACTAACAGCCACGTCGTAGTTGGCACCAAGATTGCGGTGACCAATGCGGAAAGACTGCTGGTTACTGACCCCTTGTTCAAGGGTGTCAGCAGTCGGAGAGTCGATGTAACTCATGGCTTCCATTCCGTCTTCACCGAGCCACTTCAGAAAGACTTCATGGAGTTCTTGAAATCATTGGACTTCAGAGAAGCTTCTATTCCCATCGAGCCATGCACAAAGGTGCACACTTCATTGATCAATGCTGAGCATGTTGCATCACATCTTCGCCAACCGGTCTACTTCATCGACGCCATTCAGCGGATAGAAGAGCGCCTGGGAGGCTGCATCTGGCTTGAAGCAGGATTCGATTCATCCATTATCCCCATGATTAAGCGTGCGACAGCTGAACCGGAGATTCATTCATTTCTCAACATCAAGACGGCTGATGTTAGTCAACCTACCAACGTTCTCTCTCAAAGTATCATCCACCTCTGGAAGGAAGGGGTCGATATCACCCCATGGGCTTTCCTGTCTCCTTCCGAAGCTGGTTTAGAACCAGCATGGCTACCCCCCTATCAGTTTCAGAGAACCAAAGCTTGGCTCGAGAATGTTGATAGAGCTACTGAGCTTCAGCGGAGTTACGAA